AAAACAGGTTACATATTTGCAAGATCATCATATTCACTTGAATAAGACGTAAGGTACGGAATATTAACACCACAGCCTCCTCTTATAATTGGGTCTGGGACTCTGGGTTGGCCCAACAACTTGTGACTTCATTTTTAAAAAATTTCAGGTTACTTCGGGTTCGGACTACTTCATGTTCGGGTCAATGCGGGTTCAAGTAGAGAACTATATGTTCATCACCATTATCATTCGGTTTGGGTCGACCCAACGGGTTATGACTTTGATTTTAAACAAATTTTAAGTTCATATTAACACTTGCATTTTTCTATAAGTAAAATTAAAATATCAAAAAAAAAGAGTACTATATCTATTATATTATTTTATTTTACATTATGAAATAATTTTACCTCTTAGATCTATATAATTTGAAGCTCCAAACAATTGAAATACAATCTAAGACGAATATTTAGGCTCGAGCTTCTCGATGCTGTTATATAACCACTACCTTCATCGCTCACATCCGCCATGTGAAACTTTGAACAAAACAAATCAATCACCCAAGAACAAAAACATTATATATATATATATATATATATATACTCCCTCTGGCCACAAATAAACTTTACATTGCGCGTTACGATGTTTGACTGAAGTTATTTTCAAATCATTTTATATGAAAAATGGTGTAGAATTGAAAAATAAAAATTACATATTAAAAAACTACTCCCTCTGTCCACCATAGATCTTCCCAGATACTATTCACATGGTCAAACTTTACTCACTTTGTTTGCTCAATTTTACTAGTCATTTCATAAAATAATATAGTCTTGTCACCTCTAGTTTTGTAGAACTTTTCATGTAGTTTATTAGTATATAAATTTTATTTTAAAATTTTACTCCTATAATCAATTAAATTGAATTGAAAATAAAGTCGGTCAAGCCTCGTAACGCGTAATGGGAAGATCATACATGGACGGAGGGAGTATATCAAAAGATCTACAAAACTAGAAGTGACATGACTATATTATTTTATTAAATGAGTGTCGAAAATAGGCCAACAAAGTGAATAAAGTTTGACCATGTGAATAGTGAACGTAAAGTTTATTTGTGGACGGAGGGAGTATATGTATATATATATATATATAATGTTTTGTAGACTAAAACATTTAATTGTGGAACGGTCTCACTAGGATCCCTTAGACCTTTTTGATGATCCTAGCCAAAAGGTCAAGAAACGTAGTAGAAAATTTATTTTTTAGTACATGAGTTCGATATATGTTTCACTTTCACACCTGTTGATTCTCAAATTAACTAAAGAAATTATGTTCATCCTATTTGCAGAGAGTGTGGACTTGAAGTGCAAGCTGTAGGGATATGGCTTTCAGGGTAGCCACACTAAGGAGCTGCTGGGACAACGGAAAAAACGTAGCACCCACATCCGGCTTCCATAACTTTGCTCACGCCATTGCACAAAAAATTCCAATGGACAGCATCATCTTCGGCAATCCCATAGCGCCAATAAAGGCCCAGTCTGCAAATCAGGAAAGGATTGAAGGGAACATTTCTTACAGATTCCAAGATATCACTTTCTTCAATGGGTCTATGGAACTAATGGCCGTCCCTAAAAAGAAGCTTCATCCTCTGACAACTTCCTTAACATGACAATTAATTCTGAACACGCTGAAAGTATCATTACATAACCTTTTCAAATTGCTAAAGCAGGTTACTCGTCACAAGAGTTACTCCAAAGCTATTGCCAATGAATCGCAGGTTACTCGTCACAAGATGGGGGATACGAAATGGACCAAAGGCATTGAAACCTCAACCTCTGATAATCCGCTGCACGTAAGTACTTTCAATATCTCATTGCACCCAAACTTGAATGCCCCCTGCCATAAAAAAGAACGACAATCCCAGTAAAACCCCACGAAAGTAGGGTTTGGAGAGGGTGATATGTATCCAAAACTCACCCCTACTTGGAAGTATGCCTATAAGCTCTCAAACACATTATGTAATTTAGTAGGGTTTGTGGCAGAGTGAAATTACCACACTTGTTCTGTTGTGGCGGGATTCGGCAAGAGGCAGCGCAGTAGAGGGAGAGGATGATGAAATGAGGGAGTAGATATGCACTTTTCATTGCTGAACCAGCACTTTNCCCCCTGCCATAAAAAAGAACGACAATCCCAGTAAAACCCCACGAAAGTAGGGTTTGGAGAGGGTGATATGTATCCAAAACTCACCCCTACTTGGAAGTATGCCTATAAGCTCTCAAACACATTATGTAATTTAGTAGGGTTTGTGGCAGAGTGAAATTACCACACTTGTTCTGTTGTGGCGGGATTCGGCAAGAGGCAGCGCAGTAGAGGGAGAGGATGATGAAATGAGGGAGTAGATATGCACTTTTCATTGCTGAACCAGCACTTTGAGTGAACCATTAGCAAACAGTTCAAAGTCTGATTTTTTTAAAATATTAAAACTACACTTTTTCTTTGAAGATTTGCCATTGGTGTTGTGTTCAAATGGTTTGTTTAGTCAAAAAATATTCAAAGTATTAGCTTTGTTTGACTTGTCATAATGTAAAACAGGTTACATATTTGCAAGATCATCATATTCACTTCAATAAGACGTAAGGTAAGGAATATTAACACCACAGCCTCCTCTTATAATTGGGTCTGGGACTCTGGGTTGGCCCAACAACTTATGACTTCATTTTTAAAAGGTAAGGAACAACTCTGGGCTGTTCAAGACATATGACGGGTGATGTGAGCCTCTTGAGCAATCTAATTCTCTATGATGGTCCAAGAGTTACTTTTGGAGGAAGCAATGATTTTGGCCTTACAAAAGGGCTAGGAAATCTAGTGTACAAGGGACTAACCATGCAGGCTGTATCTTATGTGGAAGTTCTCAATTATAACCTTCTTTGCATAAGTCAGTTCTGTGATAAAAGTTATTCTCTGGAATTCTGCAAGGACATGGCATCCCTCAAGAACATCACCACAAATGAAGTCATTCTCACTGGGAAGAGAATCAGGAATATCTACGAAGTGATGTGGGATGATGTCAAGGAAGCATGCCTAATCAGCAAGGGTGACACTAACCTTCTATGGCTTTGGCATAAGAGGTTGAGTCATCTCAACTTCAAAACCCTTAACAAGCTGTCCAAAGAAGGGTTAGTGGAAGGTCTTCCCAAAGCTGTGTACAAAAAAGAAAGCATCTGTGATGCTTGTCAGAAAGGAAAACAAGTCTAAGTCCACATGGATTTATTTGGACCTGTTACTCTAATAAGTCTAAGTGGAAAGAAATATGTCTTAGTAGTAGTTGATGACTATTCAAGATACACGTGGACAATCTTCCTCAACAGCAAGAAGGAAACTCAAGGGAAACTCACAAACTGCATGAAGCTGATTCAGAATCAAGCAAGTCAGACCATCCAGAAGATCAGATTTGACAAAGGCACAAAGTTCCTGAATAAAATCATCATTCATTACTGTGAAGAAAACAGAATTCTTCATCAGATATCCGCAGCAAGGACACCACAGCAGAATGGTGTAGCTGAAAGAAGGAACAGAACCTTTTAGGAAGTTCTAAGAACCATGCTAGCAGAAGCTTTCTTACCAAAAAGGTTCTGGGCTGAAGCTGTAAACACAGCTTGCTATACTCAAAATAGGAGTATGATATATAAAAGGCACAACAAAACTCCCTATGAACTGTGGAATGGGAGAAAGCCTAATATATCATATTTCCACATTTTCGGGAGCAATTGTTTTGTGTTAAACAACGGGAAGAATCATCTGAACACTTTTGATGCGAAATCAGATGAAGCCATCTTCCTTGGATACTCTGTGGTTAGAAAGGCGTTCAGAGTTTTCAACAAAAGAACCATGATCACTGAAGAGTCAATACATGTTATTTTTGATGAAAAACATGTGGTTGACAAGCCATCAAAGCCTGATCATGAGGTTGTGGATCTCTCAGACAAAGATGAAGAAGTCAATGAAAGAGATAGAATGAAGCCAACGGAGTTCATTCCATTCGGAAGTCTACCATTGAAGACTTCACAGAGAAGTCCGGATTCAAATAGCGCTGAGTCTAACAGAAATCATGGCCAGCCTTCCGAAATCCCAGATCTCTCACATGGCGACAATTCCGGAAGTGGTGATCAAGTGCCAATCCATCCGGAAACACCAACAAACTCTATTCTTCAATCATAGAACCATAAGACTTGTAATTCAGGTTTTTTAAATTAACACAGGGAAAAAGAATCATAGCATCACTAATGTCTGGAAAAAAGATAAGAGTAGGAATAAGCATAGAAAACATACAAAAAAAGAGATTTATATATTTATTACCAAAATAGAAGTTACAATGTCAATAATATCAAGATATTCTACCAACAAATTATGCAATGTATGACATTATGCAATGTCAGTATATAGTGCGACATTATCACAGTATAAATTCCTAATTTGAAAATTAAAATATGACACTACTATTTTGATATTTTCCCTATATTTCACTTCTATTTTGATATTTTCCCTCTCTTTCACTCCTATTTTGGATAGTTTAATCTTATATTTTTTTGATATTTTTATTGAATTATGCAGGGAGAATAATGATAGTTTTATAGAAATTTAATAAACTTATATCATTTATGTTTGGTGTTCAAATGATATGCCCCATAAAATGTCAAATAATCTTAATTTTTTAACATTATAAAATCATAAATAATTTCGTTCGATCTTATTCGTGGCACAGGCTAAAGTACTAGTTGTTCAAAAAAAGTGAAGTTATTATTGTTAAAAAAGGAGTATGAAATATGTCTTAATTGTGTAAAAATGGACCATAGGGATAACGTGGCATGGTGTGGCACTGTGGCATGCATTTGTCTCGCCCTTCCTTTGCTCTGAAGGTGTGGGAGAAGATGAATGGAGAGAATGGAAAAAAATATAAGAACGTTTACATAGCCAATATCGAGTAATGGCCCTCTTTACTCTTTCAAATAGGATATCAGATTTTTGGGTTTTTGAACCCCAAATTTCATAAATTTGATTGCCCAATAATAGGTATGTTTAGGTTCAAATTTCAATTTTGATTTATTTGTTGAACGATTAAATCATATTCCCTAGTTATATACTCCGTATGATATAAGTCATATATGAATCATAGGGGAGATGAGATCGCTGCGTAGAATACGTACATTAGCACAAGAGCTCCTCCTACTCAACTGAAGCTAAGTTTTATTTATCCTAAAGTTTCCGTTGTGCATTTTTCTTGGGGCGTTTCAATCAATTTGCGTTTAAGAGCATTCTAAGGACAGTCTTCATCTTTGGCCTGCCCTCCGGCGAGACGCTAACACAGGCGAGAGCCACCTTCATGACAGACACCATCTGCCTCCTCCTGACGGCGGCAACAGATGTTTTACTCTCATCAAAGTCAAGAATAATGTCACCCCACTTGTTTTCCTCACCCGACTTGCTTGAAACAATGAGCTTGGCCAACTCGGTTCCCTGACTCACCGCTGGCTTCCCTGTTACCAGTTCCAGCAGAACAACCCCAAAGCTGTACACATTGCCAGCCATAGTCACCTTCATTGTGTATGCATACTCTGCCAGTCATCAGACAACACACGCACACATATAATATGTGCAGGGTAAGTGTTATATAATAAAAAACCTTTCTTGGGCCACAACCATAAGCTTGAGCTTTTGGTTGAGTTGGTTCCATGACATGGTATCAGAGTTTTCTTCACTAACGATAGTATGATTTTGGTTGAGTTGGTTCCTTGAGAGTAAGATTTAAAAATTAATGTTTCACGTGCAACGCTCAAAAAGACTACGCCTGCTTTTGGTTGAGTTGGTTCCTTGAGAGTAAGATTTCTGTGTATTAAAAAGAAAACTGCCTATCATTCAAAACCTGGAGGGATGTAGCCAACTGAACCAGCAACAGTGGAAAGATTGCCAGTGCCTTTTGAAGGGTCGTCGGCGATCAAGTTGTAGACTTCAATCTCTCCAATACGGGGCTCCTTCAGGGACTTGAGCATAATGGTTTTGCTGGAGAGGTCAAGGAGAAGGATTGGGCTGCTGGAGCTACTGCTGTGTAGAAATGCCAACCCCTGAGCCACTCCGATGGCTATGCTGTAGCGGCTTCCCCAATCCAGCTTGCTGCTGCCATGATGATGAAGAGCTTCATAAAGAGTCCCAGCAGGTGGAAATTCATAAAACAGATAGACACTATCTGCTGTCAAGGTGTAGGCCAAGGGGGTCATGATATTCGAGTTGCTCAACTTCCCAAGCCTCTCTACCTCTCTCCCGAATCTCCCACTGTTTTGCTCAAATTGTATTATTTTGTGACTATAGTTAAGCCTCTTGACCAAGTAGCTCGCACCCGAGGGCATGGCTGCTTTATGATAGGTTGATAGTCTGGTCTTCAAGACAATGTTTGAGGTTTCAGTCACGGCTTCCATCGCTTTCTTGAAGTCAATGCAAGACTTGTGGAGGCCATTAGCCGTTAGCAGCTTTCCACGGACAACTTGTGGTGGTTGAGAAGAAGAAGAAGCATTTTCCCCGGAATGATAATATGCTTTCCATATTGATAGAGTTATAAACAAAAATAGAGCAGCCCCAAAACCGGCAAGTGCGACCCCAATCACAACAGCTACTGATAATTTCCTCTTTGATGGCATAGGCTGAGAGTTCGGGCCAGGTTTTGGGGGAGGCAAAATCAGGCCCTTTGTTTGCCAGTATTATCTGTGTCAAACCACTCATCTTAGTCAAGTAGTCTGGAATCTGACCGGAGAGTATGTTATATGAGAGGTCTAAAACCTCCAATGCAGATAGCGCAGACAGAGTGGTTGGGATGGTTCCACTGAAGAGATTGTGACTGAGATTCAGCGCGATTTGCAACTGTATTGGCATTTGTGGAATAGTCCCACTAAGTCTGTTGTTTCCAAGTTCGAGTTCCAGCAGACGATTTAAGGTGCTGATTGACTTTGGTATGGAGCCATTCAGCTTATTCTCTTTCAAGTCCAAGTTTGCAAGGTTTTTCAAGCTGGATATTGAATCTGGTATAGAGCCAGTGAGCGAATTCCAGCTCATATTAAGTCTCTGCAATTTGGAGAGGTTCGATATGTCTCTGGGGATCTCTCCGACAAGGTGGTTCATTTGGAGCTTCAGAACCTCAAGATTCGGGAGGTTCACTACCTGAACGGGTAAAGAACCGGTCAGTTCATTCTGGGCAAGATTCAACAAAGCCAAGTTTTGGCACAAGAACAGCTCAACTGGTATGCTTCCATTCAAATGGTTGTTTTCCAATTCCAAGTAAGTCAGATTCTGGAGGCTTCGAAAGGGTTTGCCTGGGATGGGGCCAAACAGATAATTGTTTCCCAATCTGAGCCTATTAAGACTTGATGACATGGTTGTAGGTATGGAACCCTCCAAATTATTGTTAGACAAATCCACATACTGCAAATTTGGTGGAGATAAAAGGGTGAGAGGGATTGTCCCATTCAACCTATTGAAGCTGAGGTCTACATTAATGAGGTAAGTAGTCAATCCAACAGGAACACTTCCAACAAAAGCATTCTGATTCGCTGCAAACCGCGAGAAGGTTTTGATTTTCCCAAGAGTGTGTGGGATTGAGCCATTTAAACTATTACCTGACAATATCAATGTATCCAACCTCGAGAGATCCCCCAGGCTTTCAGGGATTGATCCCGAGAGCTCATTAAAACTAAGGTCAACGTAAGTCAAGTTCCCATACCTCACGATTTGAGAAGGGATTTCGCCCTCGAAGCCATTGTCAGAGAGCCTAAGCTCCGACAATGCATTGGCTTTTCCAAGACTAACCGGAATGGGTCCAACGAAACCGTTTGAGCTCAGGTTCAAACTTTTGAGCGAGCTCAAGCTATCCAATTGAAGACCGGCAATCCCCGGCAGATTGTTCTTAGACAGGTCAAGTGACTCCAATGCACCAAACCCCTGCCTAAAGCGAGGCAAAGGGCCAGTTAAAAAGTTGCTACTCAAATTCAACACTCTCAATCCCCTTATGCCCCCGCAACCAGCTATGAACCCGTCCGGGATTGAGCTCAGCTGGTTGTCAGACAGATCAAGAGACTCAAGACTTTTGATCCCACAAAGAAGGGGGAAAACATCCGGCGTAGAAATGGAAAACTTGCGAAGGGAAATGGCGGTTATTGTGGAGGAAGCGTTCGGGGCGCAAGTGACACCCTTCCACGAACACGGGTGGGAACCTATGTTTGTCCCACTCCATGCAAAGGCAGCACCAGTGTTGTTCTGAATCATGTCGTAGAGGCTAACCATGATGTTTTTCTGACCCTGAGAATACACTGTCTGCAGTAACAAACAGCAGCAGCATAAGGGAATGATGGTAGTCGAGGTGATTTGGTCATACCTGATTTTCATGTTGGCTATATGTCGGGGTGGAATGAGAATTCTGTGGTGTGCTTAAATGGTGTGAGAATTCAGTGTTAATTAAATAAAGAAATTACTGGGTCTGTGGGGTTCAACAAAGGGACTATAGTATGAAAATAGAAATAACAATTGCGGGTTTGGGTTGACGTTGAACGGGTGTGGGAGTTGACTGGAATTTACTCCGTAGTTGTTTGTATTTGTGGAGCAAGCAACTGGGTAAACGGGAGGACTAATCCCAGCCTCTCTTCAAAAATATCCCATCTCGAAAATACATTAATTCCAGACTAATCTAACGCAAATACTCTCTCAGTCCCAAATACTGTAGTCTTTATTATTCAAAAATCACGAATTTCTTTTATTTATTTTTACATTTTAATTGATTATTTGATAAAATAAAATATTTTTGTCATCTATTGACGTAGCTTTCAATGCTTAATTTTTATTTTTATTTTCATACTAGTCATTAAGTAAAATATATTAAAAAACTTTAAAGTTCGCTTATATGTAAAATATTTTGGGACGGATGAAGCATTTGATTCCATATTTTAGCCGATGAATATTTTGGATCTGCCTTAGAGCAGAGGAAATGGGTGTGACACCCACCGGCGTCAACCCTAATTTTAACGCCTAGGGGCGTTAAAAACCGGCCCCCTAGGGCTTTAAAGGGGCGTCACTCCCTCAGCGTCAAACCTTTAACGCGACACTCCCCACCCCCAACGGCCAAAAACGGTTACTTTAGCCGTTAAACAAAAAAATCTAAATTAAAAAAAACCTATTTATTTCCTCAAAACAAACCTATCTCTCACATCTTTCACTATCTTCTCTCGACAATTCTATCAAATATTCTTTCAAATATTTGATTATTTATTATAAATATTTATAAAATATATTTTAAAAATGGGATCATCTTCAATATATTTTAAAGATATTGAACGAGCCTTCGGGGTCTTGACAGCTAAGTGGCACATTCTAGATCGTCCGTCGAAATGTTTTTCTCAAACAAAAATGAGTAATATCATGTACGCATGTATTATTCTTCATAATATGATCGTAGAGGACAACGGGTTTGCGATTTGTCAATACAACCCGGACGAGGAGGTGCCTATGTACGAAGAAATCGACGAAGAAAAGAAACGAAGAAACCGCCAAGGAATTCGAAACCGAGAGATTCACAATGCACTAACGACGGATTTGATCGAACATATCTTTAGTCGCTCGAATAATTAGTAATCTGTTTGTAGTATTGTTTTTTTATGGATGTAATATTTTTTTAATGAGTAACTTTTTTTATGAATGTAATATTTTTTAATGAATGTAATTTTTTTATGCACTATTCTCCTTTCGATTATTTTAAATAATTAAATAATTAAAATTTATTATTTTAAATTTAGAAGATCATATGTATATTTAAACATGTAAAAAATGAAGATTTGAAGTCTTTGTTTGAAGCCCTGGGGCTTCAAACCCATTTCCACTTAATCTATGAGGTAAGTTAAAGCTGACGTGGTAGAGAGAGAAATTTTGAAGCTCCGGTTTGAAGCTTCGGGGCTCACGGGTATTTTCAGTGCTCTTATTCTAATATAGTCTTTTCCGAATGCGTGAAACAAATTAATATTGATTTTCATCTAATATTAGTGGAGTACTTTCTCGCGAACTTCTATGAAGCAAAAAGGTAGAGTAAAGTTATTTCCCCTTTTCTCACCCTAACTTTATGAACATTAAGAAAATCTTGAAAATATGCTAGAATGTGAATGATCGAAATGGATATAGATTGAAATTTAAATTGTTTAGATATCTGCAGATATTTGGAATTTGTGTTTAAAAACAAGAGTAAATTTCATAAAGTTTCTTTATAATAAAGGTTTTTTTCATATATAATCCTTAATTTTAAGATATCAAATTTGCGGCCTTGGATATTTTAAAACTATTTCATGATTAGTCCTTTAGAAAATATGTATGTGAGAATAATATTTGGATCAAATAATTATGGAATGATCTTAAATATAGAGGATTTATGACTAATATATGATGAAAACAAAAACGATGTTGCTTTCGGTGTATGATGTTAGAGGAATTTTAAACCAAATAGAACTACAAATGGTGTTTTACCTATTAAAATAAAAAGTTAAAATGGCAAAAAAAGAAAACAAGTGCATAAGCAGCACCGTCCATTTGTTTATTGGAGAGGGTCTTTCTCCAATACCCATGCAAATGTGAGGGCATGGATGCCCCTCCATTAAATGACTGCCACATGGACTTATGACCATGTCAATTAGGAATGCTCTCCATGTCATTTAAAATTTCAAGAATTGCAAATTGACTCAGTTTCCTTCCTCTCTTAATTAATTTCTCACACTTGGCTTTCATTAACTTGTTGCTCCATGTTTTTTAATAAAAAATCATTCAAAAGATCTCATTGAAATCGGATTGAATGTGGGATGAAGGAAAAGAAAGAAAGAGTGGATGGCCAAATGTACTTGATTTTATAGACGTTATGATACAAACCCGAGACGAGGAGATTGGGGTTGTTTCCAATTCGGCACGGGATTCAAAGGCGGCCCATCATTAGTTTCTCAGTAACGCGTCACTTAGAAACTAGAGAACTTGTGATTGATATCGGGTTCATAAAATAGACACAAAAAGGTCAAAGCATGTTATCTAGAGCCCAACGGAGATGAAGCCCATATTCGAATTACAAGAATGGGTCGAACCCAAGGATTGAACAATGTAATGGGTCTGGCCTAGTCCGTCAAGGCAGATTGATCACGAAGTCTAAGGAAAGCGCAATCCCCTGATCGTGGGATTAACGAGTGATTGATGACTTATTTCTTGCCCACAATTGACGCACGATAGCCAATCAGCCTGATAATGTAGTACACACCATGTACGCAGTAGCGTTAGACTATAAATAGGAGATAAATCTTCCATTGTAACCTAAGCTGAAAAAAGCTAATACAAGTATACGAAAGTTATATTCATCTATACTGTTCTTATTGTCATAGAAGTTCTTCGTGCCACCGTAGTTGTTGGGCTAAATCCCATCAATCTTAGCCTGACCTGACGTTTGATCAGATTTAATAATTATCTATTTTTTTGGACGTGTCTGGCTATACCCAAATCACATGTGGGGTAAAAAACTATATCCATATCTGCCCATCTAGGCGGGTAAGACTGCTTGATTGTGCCCAAAAATGGCATGTAAAATGAAAAAGAAGTTACATTAAAAGAATTTAACAATAAAAAAGATAGTAATAGACAAAAAAACCAACATGACCTAAAATAAGGAAAATACAGAAAACAAGGTTATATCGTTATAGTGTTTCTATTTCACGGCACATTACATATGACAAAGTGTGAAATGCAAAATTAATAGGTACTAATTGAGGACACATTACAGGGATAAATAATCTAATATTATACTCGGTATTCCAAATTAAATTTTTTGTTTATTATTAATAGGGCCAAACTTCCTTCAATTTCTTTCTTTATTTTTGTTAGTTATTTGATGTCACCACTAGTTTTGTAAATTTTTTTATGTAGTCTTTAACAGAAAAAATTTGAAAATAGCTTCAGTTAAACATCGTAAACCGAAACAGACAATTTAAATTGAGACGGAGGGAGTAATATAATTTTTAAAAATTGATGGGCCAACAGTTCTAAATGGACCAACCTTAATTTCGATATTCACTTAGTATAAAAATCACGCCCAGCCTACTCACAAGGATAAGGGAGAAAAACCAAAATAGCACTCTTAGAACTTTAAAATACTCTAAATAGCAGTGCTATATCTTTCGTACCTGTGATTCCGATTTTGTCCGTTAATTAAACAGTAAATATTCATTACAAACTGCCAAAAAATATGATTGTTTTGGGCAGTGTGGTTGTTCACTTGTAGCTGAGTAGTGGGCTGTGTGGTTTTTTATATGTGAGTATTTAATGTGGCAGTGTAGAATGGATATATGTTGTTGTTATATCTTACGGCAGTGTATAGGTGTATTATTGTGTTCCTTAATTTCATATTGGAGTGCAATGTCCATTGATTAATATGGTAGTGTTTTCATGTATAAATCCTACACTTTCAAAAAGTGTATGACTGTTTTCATGTATGAATTCCACAATGCCTTAAAAATGTATAACTCTTTTTATGCATAAATTCCACACTATTTTCATCTATGAATTCCACACTGCCAAATTAAAAATGTGTATGGCTATTTTCACGTATGAATTCCACGCTGTCCAAAAATGTATGACTGATTTCATGAATAATCCATTACACAAAAACACACTGGCCAAAGATAGGCGTTAAATATGGAACTTAATTTAATACGTACGAATTTGTTTAGTCATTATACATTGGTAAACTGCGTAGGAGGAGGATCTCGCAAAGCTATGATAAACGGCGTAAGATGATGTTCTCATACGTATGAGACGCACGGATGAGGAAGAGCCGCACCTATGAGGAGAAGTGACTACGTGAATAACCTACGTTTAATCAAATAATAAAAAGTAATTAAAAATAGTAGAATATAATAAAAGATAGAGGGTATGTTTGGAAGATATTCATACTATAAATAGCTAAATTGGTATAAAAGATTAAGGAGTGCTAAATGCGTAATATTGTGTGACTTAGATTGCTACGTAGGGTGCTTTCTTCAAGGATAATGTTATTTCTCGAAGAATTTGTACCCCATTTTATACACTGTAGGGATATACCAACATTTTGTGTTGATGTAATGCTAATTTTGGTTAACGCACTAACACTTTGTGTTAATTTAAATTTTTGTTAACGCACCAATACTTTGTATCAATGTGAACTATCAAAATTGTAGTTATGCTTCCCCATTTAGAGTCTGTTCTTTAGAACTGGAAAAAAAGAGCTAGATGTTAGAAGAAACTGGAAAAAACTGGAATGAACTGGAAGAAACTGGAAAAAAACTGGAAGAAACTGGAACGAACTAGAAGTAACTAGGAAAAACTGGAAAGAATTGGAAAAACTTCAAAAAATTGGAAAACCCAAAAAAACTTTAAAAACATTTGTTTTAAATTCTTGTTGTTATAAATTATTATTATTATTATTATTATATTATTATTATTATTATCATCATCATCATCATCATCATAATCATCATGTTATCTTAATGAATGCCTTTAAGATACAAAAAAAATATTGTTATTTTTTAAATACAAAAAATTACTTTTGCAAAAAAATAATTATAATATAAAGTTATCATAAATATAAAAATATTAAATTTTAAAAACTCTTTGTGGTTATATTGCATCTCAATTTATTTATGCAGTATTTATTACTCCCTCCGTCCCAAATTATAATGCCTGTTTACTATTCACAAGGTCAAACTTCATTCACTTTCTTTCTCTATTTTCGTTAGCAATTTGATAAAATAAAATATCATTGTCACTACTAGTTTTGTAGATCTTTTGATGTAGTTTTTTAATATGTAATTTTTATTTTTTAATTCTATACCATTTGTCATATAAAATGGTTTGAAAATAATTTTAGTCAAACATCGTAAACTGAAACAGGCGTTATAAATTGGGACGGAGGTAGTATAAATAATATATTTGTAATTATACTTTATATATTACAAGATTTTGTTTTAAATATCCGACATGTCACATAATGTAATCAGACCTATTTTTTCTTTCATGATTGACATTTAATTTTCATTGAAGTCCTATTTTTGGAACAAATACATATAACTTTTGTTTATACTTTTTTTATGTTTTACTCCTATTTTAATCTTTTTCTCTAAACTATTTTGACTTACAATTTTTTTATAAAAATTAGAAACATGAGAAAATTTTAAGTAATAAAGGGAAAGGTGAGAGGTCTTATATAAAGTTAGATTAATAAAACATTCAATATCACTATTTTATCCATAATTGTTCTAATATAATTTAACATATTGATGTTTTCCTGTTTTATCATGTAGACTAATATACAAAAAATTGTCTTATTCATATTAAAAAGTTGAAGAAAAAAAATAATGAGTGTAAATCATAAAAATAGTGAGTTGGAAAAAAAATAATTTATAAACTATAGTTATGAATATAACAGTTGTTATAATAATAATAATAATAATAATAATAATAATAATTACATTAAAATATATCGCTTTTAGAATAATTGGTTGAGGAGTAGAAAAAGTTTGAAGAAAATGAGAATAGTTGAAAAAAACTGGAATGAACTAGAAGAAACTGGAAAAATTACACTCGAAAAAATTAAAAACGCTCTTATTCATCGCAATCTCATTTTCCTACACAGTAGAACTATGGATGAAAATCGGCAGTCAGTTGGGAGCTCGGGACTGGTGTCACCACTCTCATTTTGCAGGGGAGAAGAGAAGGAAGAGAGCTCCGATCTAACCCTCCTCTATGCAGGTTCAAAGGTACACATTTTCCTTGTTACGGAACTGAAACCTTCAGCGAGATGAAAATCAAAATTTAGGTTTTGGTGGAATTAGTTCAAGGCTGAATCCCCAATTTTGAAGCATGAGATTAAGGGGCTGTTTATTTCAGCTTATTAATGGTTCAGATGTCTGAATAGTTCAGCACTTAATGGTTCAGACCGTTTGTTTCAGCCTCTTAATGGTTCAGATGTCTGAATGGTAAAGAGATTTGCCTCTGAATGGTTAAGTATTATACAGAGTCTGAATGGTTGACCTCTTATCTGAATTGATCAGACATTTGCCTCTGAATAGTAAAGCAATATACTAGCTCTTAATGGTTCAGACATCTTACTGGTTCAGCACTTAATGGTTCAGACCTCTTACTGGTTCAACACTTATCTATTCAGAAGTTGCCAAACAGCTCCTAAGTATTGGTTGTTTTTCCTTCCCTTCTTCAACCAAATGCAACTAAATCCGTTTTTTTTACTCATTTGAAACGAAATGAGTTGAACATAGTGAAACGAATCTTTGTTCTCTGTTCTCTGTCAACGAATAGTGAAACTCATTTGAAACGAATGAGTTTATATCCCGGAGTACTCCTATGGCCGATGTGTCACCCAAATGACCCCTTATGGCACGACTTAGTCAGTTATTCTCGATTAAAAACCTTGGGGAATGTTAGTCCTTGTATTCCTAGCGATTAGGGATATCCCAAAATAAGATACCATTGAATTAGATTCAAAATTGATTTTATCTTACTCCCTAAACCAGGTCCACCATCTCATTTTCCATTGTCTTCGTCCATTTAGGGTAATTAGATTGAGTTAATTTTGAATTCCCTTTTCATTTTATTTTCTTACTGTTGTTTATGTTAATATTTATTTTTGTTAGTTTTTTAGTTCGGTTTTGGGTCTTGCAATTTCAGAAATGTTTTGAGAGAATGTTGTTTTGGTTTGCTTTAAGTAATCAATAGTTCAGCTTTGCATTCTTTGTTTATAATTTTCTGGTTGTTTTGGTTCTTTAACAAAGAATGCACAGGTTCATATTTCTTATTTGCACCCTCAATTATTTTACCGTGAGTTCGACAACTGCTCCCTAATGTTTTGTTGTTCCGGATTTGTTTTGGTTGCATAACTAATAACATTTCAAAACATGAAAGCTGGTTTGAGATGAGTTTGGAATGCATTTGTAGTATACATTTAAATGAGTTTTCTCCCTAGCTCTTCTATATTTGAATCTTTTGGTTTTATAAAAGAGATACATTTGCTAAACCATATGCCTTTTATATGGCCTCATGTGATTCTCATAGAATTAAAGGTCAATGATTAGTTGACTAAGCTTAACACACTTAAGCTCTGTTCTTTTGAGTTGGAATTTCAAAGTTGGATGTTGGAAGAAACTAGAAAGACTTAAAGAAACTGGAAAGAGTTGGAAAAAACTAGAACGAGTTGGAAAAATGTAAGAAGAGTTTAAGTGTTAAAAATTCACTCAATTAAATGCTCAACCAAATAAATATGTAAGAGAACTCTCATTTTGGATAAAAAAGAATTCATCATTGCTTGTGTTTGAGGTAGTCTGTTATAAATTTGGATATGTAGTACTATTGTATATTCATCATATATTATTACATTTTTTAAGTCGTCGTTGGAAGAAACCAGAAGGAGTTGGAAGTAACTTGGAGTTAGAAGAAACTGGAAGGAGTTGGAAAAAGTTGCAAGTTACTTTTCCAACCCAAAAGAATAGGGCCTTACTCCCTGTGTTTCATAACCAAATTTAAACTTCCTTTTTCCATCCATATCAAAATAAACTTTGCACTTCACTTCTTTTCCTTTTAAGGAAAAAAATATGTCTAAGTTTCTCTTCTTCTAAACAAATTTAGACCACATTCTTTCCATTTCTCAACACTTTTCATGACTCAATGAAGTCATACCACCGTCTAGTTTCTTTCATCCAATAAAATAAAGCTTAATTTAATATATATGCTTAAAACATTTTAAAATATAAGTTGGTTGATTTTATACCAAACAACCTTGGATTTTTGTGAAATTTTTGGATGATGATCTATGTGTTGGTAAATTTCAAGCCTACGGTGGGTTTCGCAAAAAAAATAGTCCAATTGAAAGATATGAATATTGTAATATTTGTTGTATAGAAAATTTGTTGTAATATTAAATGGCCTCATGTGTGTGTTTGTGTATTTCGGAGTACATGGGATTTTAATAAGGAGTATATCCTCAACTATTGGTCCCTCATATTTGGAGCCTCCATCGTTAGAACCCGTTCAATGTTTTCTTACTACGTTTCTCTTCAGTAATTTGGTTCTTTATGGCTTGAGTTTCTTTGCATCAAAATTCTAAAAAATCTACTTTGCTGAAATTGACATCAAGCTTTTGACTAAATCGCTGTTTCCAAGGGGACAGCACGAAGTCTTCATTCCATGGACCCGCTTGGAGCTCAATCCACTCCTCCCGTCAAAGAAGATGAGTGGGACACTGATGGATTTGTGATTCCAAGCTTGGGGATCAGGGATTCAGGAGAAAGTCAAACCGATCCTTTAGAAGTCGGCATGGATTCTGAACAGTCATCATTTACTCATTCAAATGAGGAGAGTATATACCTCGGACCACATGGAGCTCCTCCTCCTTTAGGACCAAGACAATCAGAGTTGAACTCAAAGCAAAGTTTTAAGCACAAACTTAAGGAAGCTGATAGAAGATACAGCGGAAGTGGCCGTGAGAATAAGGTGGAAAGTATAAGAGCGCTTGTGGGAGTTGGAACAATGCCTCCTGCACCCAAAAGCTCCTCCAAGGATTGGCTAGATCCCCATTGCCGTGAATCAGAGTTTGAAAGGATTGATCATCATTAATTTGGTAATCATCAAACAATCTTTAAGCTCATTTTATCCTCAACTTTCTTTTTTCGCTCTGGTATTTGTTTAATAATAACCCTGTCGACCTTTCTTGGGATATTATTAACTGTACACATGAGAATGATACTTACTAAGAGAAATGTGAAAAGTACATTTTTGTTGTATAGTGATGCACATTGAACTTGCAGTTCATTTTTGTAGTGACAACAGAGTTCAATTTATTTATTGAAGTGCTACTGCGATTTTCTTTTTTTTTTTAAGAGTTTTTTTCGTTTTTAATATCCCTTAGCTCTTAATTCCAATGGATCATATGCATTTTTATTTCTTTCCATGCGCATCATTGTCACTTGAACCAAAATCGACATTCTTTTATACAACAAATCTTATACCATTCATATCTTTCAATAGGATTTTTTTTCTTGCGAAACCAAACCTATGATTGAAAGTTACCAGCACATAAATCATCATCTTCAAATTTCACAAACATCCAAGGTAGTTTGGTATGAAATCAAACCACTTACATTTTAACATGTTTTAAGCCCAAACGGTCTTGGATTTTTATGAAATTGTGGGATGATGGTCTATGTTAGTAACTTTCAATTATACGGGTAGGCTTTGCAAAAAAAAAAATCCAATGAAAGGTAATTATGAAAGTCTAAGATTTTTTATATAAAAAATTGTTATCCCTAACTCCAAGTCCTATCCGCGGGAATGAGTTCTGATGGAGCTGTAAGCATTGTACACTTCTGCATAATCTCTTTCGGAGTCAGAGATAGAGCAACCTTGTGGGGGAGGGGGAAGGTAGCCTGCCTCAATCAGTTGCGGGTGGTGGGGCTTCTGTGGATAGTATGCTAGGATGTTTGACCACTAAGGATGAAGTGGAAAAAATAAGTGTGTGTGTGTGTGTATTGTATCAAGACAGAAGAAAATTAGAGAATTTGAAGTTACTGATTTAAAGTCAAAATTATATTCGTTGGATAAGTCTCGATTAGAGTAATCCAACCGTGTATCGTGTGAACTAGGAGTAACAAATTCTAAGTTATGGTCATTTTAAAAGTTTAAAAAAGTGAAAAGTAAGACTGATTCGGTTGTACTCCTTCCAACTTAATTTAAATTGTCTCTTTCGGTTTACGATGTTTGGTTGAAATTATTTTCAAATCATTTTATATAAAAAATGATCTAGAGTTGAAAAATAAAGATTACATACTGAAAAACTAGATGAAAAGATCTATAAAATTAGTGATGACATGATCATATTATTTTATTAAATGACTAATGAAAATAGAGAAAGAAAGTGAATAAAGTTTGACCTTGTGAATAGTAAAGAAACCACTTAATTTGGAACGGAGAGAATACAACATTTTGGAAAAATAAAATGATAAGAATGAATTATAAAAACAAACGGATAGAAATTTGAGGTGTATCGTAATTTGTAACTTCATGTGAAGAAAGTAATTTCTATAATTCAATATTTAGTTTTAACATTTTTCAAACTTTTATATCAAGGTAGTGTTTAAAAATTTGGGAAGGGGTATCGAACTTCTTGTGAAAAAATAATTTCTATAATTCAATATTTAGTTTTTAACATTTTACAAATTTTTATATCAACGTAGTGTTTAACATTAACATTTTTAAAATTAATCTACAACGTTAAAAAAATCATCTAAAAGACCGAATTTAATTGAAAATGTTGTTCCTAAAATTGTCTTTAATCTACGGAGTAACCTTTTTCCTAAATATATAAGTCTTAATTTTCTTTATTTTTTTTATCAATTTTTACATATAAATTAAATTGAAAATAAGATATTTTGTAAAGGGAGTATGACAGTAGATATCTTTTCGGGCTTCCACAATTCCAGCCAATTAGCCAAACAAGTCAATTGTCAAACAACGCCACCTCTCAAATTCAAATCTCCCATTTGCGAAGGTGAACCAACATAATTGGGAACAAAGAATTTTCCTCACAATCCCAGAACACGTCAAGGAAAGAAAAGAAAAGAAAAAAACAAAAACTGGAAGAAGAAGAAGAAGAAGAAGGTGGATCAAGGCAGAAAATAAGATTTGAGGGAATTGATCCCAAATAACCAAATCAAAGATGGCAGAGCAGAAAGCAAAGGCATGGAAAGCGGCATCCTCAAAGCCTCCCGTAAGCGTCCTGCCTTACCAGACACCAATGTTGAAGGCGCATTACACCCTGGGGAAGAAGCTGGGCCACGGCCAATTCGGGACGACCTACGTGTGCACGGAGAGAGCCACCGGGCTTGAATACGCCTGCAAATCCATCCCAAAGAGGAAGCTGCTGTGCAAAGAGGATTACGAGGACGTGTGGAGGGAGATCCAGATCATGCATCATTTGTCCGAGAACCCACACGTTGTTCGAATCAAAGGAACGTACGAAGACGACACGACCGTTCACCTTGTCATGGAGGTCTGCAGGGGCGGGGAGCTGTTCGACCGCATTGTGTCCAAGGGCCACTTTAGCGAGAGAAAGGCTGCTGAGTTGATGAAGACCATTGTTGGGGTAGTAGAGGGGTGCCATTCTCTTGGGGTCATGCATAGGGATCTCAAGCCTGAGAACTTCCTGTTTGATACCCCAGATGAGGATGCAAAGCTCAAGGCCACCGATTTTGGCCTCTCTGTCTTCTACAAGCCCGGTTTGTCTTCTTATTTACGAGTACTGGCTTTGTTAGAATATAAAAACCTTTCCTGGGTCAACAACCACAAGCTTGAATTTTTTATCGATCTGAATACGATTTTTGTTATTCAGGTCAGTATCTTTCTGATGTGGTAGGCAGCCCCTACTATGTTGCTCCTGAGGTGCTGCACAAATTTTATGGACCCGAAATTGATGTATGGAGTGCTGGTGTTATCCTTTACATCTTATTGTGTGGGGTTCCACCTTTTTGGGCTGGTATATAACTCTTTTGAGTTCCCTACCTTTTGTTTTCTTTTTCTGGCTAATCAAATGCCGAGACAATGTAGTGATTGATCAATTCTCTTTTATCTTTAAGATTAAAATAAATAAATTTTCAAAGTGCAGAAACCGACAATGGCATCTTTAAGCAGATCATGAAAGGGAAAGTAGATTTTGAATCCGAACCTTGGCCTTCCATTTCGGAGAGTGCAAAGGATTTGATAAAAAGGATGCTCCAACGCGATCCCCGGCAACGAATAACTGCACATCAAGTCTTGTGTAAGCCATGCATGTTTCCTGTACTCAAACCAGATATATACTAGCTATGAATAATTAGTTTTGGTTTCATTGTCCAAGCATACATGTGAATATAGATGTGGCATTTTTGTATCAGGCCATCCTTGGATCGTGGACGACACAGTTGCACCAGACAGACCTCTGGGCTCGGCAGTTTTGACACGCCTAAAGCAATTCTCTGCCATGAACAAACTTAAAAAGATGGCATTGCGTGTAATAACGCTCTCCAAATCTTAATCATGCTAAAAACAACTTACTGTATTAATTTTCCCTCCATTTAATTTTATTTTTTGTAATGCTTGAAATTATTTTGTCATATAGGTCATAGCAGAAAGGCTCTCAGAAGAAGAAATAGGAGGGCTAAGACAGTTGTTCAAAATGATTGACGCGGATGGGAATGGGACCATCACGTTTGAAGAACTCAAACAGAGTTTGAAAAGAGTCGGGTCTGAGCTGATGGAGTCTGAAATCCGCGATCTGATGAATGGGGTACGCGAACTCACTCCTCCACTATGTAACACTCTATTTAATTTATATACGGAGTATTATATACTTCATTCATACCATATTGTTTTGTTTAGATTACGGAGTACGAATTTGATTGCGAAAATATCTGCAGGCAGACATTGACAACAATGGGTCTATCGACTACGGTGAATTTCTGGCAGCCACTTTACACTTGAATAAGATGGAAAAAGAGGAAAACTTGCTTGCAGCTTTCTCATACTTTGACAAAGATGCTAGTGGCTACATAACCATTGATGAGCTCCAACAGGCGTGCAAGGACTTTGGTTTCGCCGACGCTTCTTTGGATGAAATTATCAAAGAAATTGATACAGACAATGTATGTACATAGATAACAAGCCTCTACACACAATTTAATTACATAATGATGATTATTGAGATTTGAATATGACCAACTTGTAGGATGGGCGAATCGACTATGGGGAATTTGCCACAATGATGAGAAAGGGAAACAGAGGAATGAGTACGAGAGGCAATTTGAATTTTAACATTGCAGACGCCTTCGAATCAATGGTGGAAGGGTGTTCTTCCGGCCCTTCGTGTACTTAACTTTGCTCTTGCTCCTAATTATATTAATTGTATCTGTTTAAAATGATAAGAACAATACTAAATTAAATATTTGTAAAATACTGTACAAGATAGCTTATTAAATTGAAACTTCAATGTAATGTAATATGGAGCATTATATTATATATGAATTGAAGATTAATTAGTACTCCATATTAACTTTTTCTCTAACAAGTTAGTTTATATCAAAGTTGTATCCCCATATGGTAGTTGGGTTGGCAGCAGACTAGCAGTATCTATAGGATGTTTATGTTTTCAATCTAAGATTTTTCTGGAGAAGTACAATTTAATGCACCATCTCATTTGTTCTGTTTTTTTCCCTACCTCGGCTGGTAATGTGCGCATAAAACATGGATTCTGATCATACTCTTGTTCTTCCTATATTCTCGACGTATTATATAAGGTGTTACGGGATCGAGACCCGATTTCATTTTGTTTTGCCAAATCATACTGTTTTTAGTCCCTAAAAGTTTTCCTCTTTATTTTTCGTGAATGCTTTTTTTTTATTTTTATTACGGAGTAAAAAACAACTTTTATCGCTACCAATTTCTATCTTATTTATCACATCATATTTGTTTTATAAAACTTTTGATGTACTTTTTAAATACGGAGTATGTAAGTTTTTTTTACTTAAATACCGAGTACCAACCTTTAAATAAAATAATTTAAAAAAAATACTCTCTGTCCCATTTTAAATTGCATGTTTACCTTTTTCTCCGTCCCAAAATAAGTTGCATGTTACGGAGTACTTGTTTTCGTAAACTTTTAAAAGTAAAATATCTAAACTACCTCTAAAATAAGTCACTATTCTCTACCTTATTTTCTCATTCATTGTCATCACTCCTAAAAAGTAATGACAATTTCGTAAAATCAATTCTATTTTTTCTTTTCCTTAAATATGCCCAAAAGTCAAAACAGACGATTTAAAACGGGGCGGAGGGAGTACGATTTTACTTCATTTTTACGTAAATGTAAATGATTTAGGGATGAAGAAAGTATTTGTTTGCATTTTTTTATTGACCAATTGATAAACTAAATTATTTGTCACCACTTATTTTGTAAAATTTTTGATATAATTTTAAAGTGTAAATAAAATTATTTATTTCTATATAAATTTGTAAATAAATTAAATTTAAAAACACAACGTTTTGCACATTCTTCAAATTGTGCAATCTAATTTGTAACAGAGAAAGTAAAATATTAATTTATCGATATACTAAAGAGTATCTAAATTAATAAAATTTGATGGTCCCAAGAGATTAATTTAGAGGTTTAACTGTACTTTTTCTGAATGAAGCACAATTCTCGTTTAAAAAAAACAAATACCACTCCGTAGTAATTAAAATAACTAGCGTGAAAATAACCACCATAACAACATCAGTAACAATTGGTTAGCATTGGTTTCATGGGTAAACAACCATAGACAGAAACAAATACGGAGTACAGAGTATCATGGCGTAACAAAAGCAGTGTCCTAATAGTAATAGTGGACGCATCCAGTTCATTTCTATTTCCATACATATTGCATGTTTTGTTTATGAAAAGGATAAACATTTTGCATATTCGTCGTGTCCATGCACAAGTAAAAACAGGAATGTATATCATCTAAGTTCAAACTTTCTTAGTTCAACAGTGAAGCTAACGGAGGGAACGAGTCCGCCTCATATGAGCCCCGACATTTATTACTTTCTAGAAGGTACAACATGCATTTAAACCTGGAGCTAGTTAATGCGTGCCCGGCTCGTGCAGTTGTCAATACATACAAAAGCAGAAGATATCATTCGTATAACATGTGGGTGCGATGATCGTTGTCTGATGCCAACTATGTAAGTTTATGCTGGGAGAGATGTAAAAGTGATGGTTGGCTTTTGACAACTTGAAGGACGGCAGGATTTTCTGCAAAAAAAAAAGTTAATTAATTTCTTCACGTGAAACAAAATAATGAAACCAAATCAAATACAACAATCAGAACCAGAAAAGAACGACGTAAATAAGAGGCATTCATCTTCTAAGTCCCGGTAGTATTTGGTCACTTTTCACCTTTACAATGAACACACAGAAACAATATGCATGATACACCGCATGCAGAGATGTCCAAAGATTAAGAGAGGAGAAGGATTATGATGCTGCTTCTCTTCATAAGCAAACTTTGTTGCTACAATGAATAAACTATACAGTCAATGGTAAAGTTTACAAATACTGGTCCATAGTTGTTACGGCGGCTAGGCGAGCCTGGGCGCTAGAGCACCTTCCAATCGCCTAGGCGAATAGGCGCTCGCCTAGGCGTCCGCTGGGCGAGTGGGTTATGGCGACCATAAAAATTTTATAGGTACTAATGTTAAAGCATATAATATGATATAATTAATTAAAATGAACAGTGATACCACCTTTATGAAATTGAGTATTATACTATCTATCTATCTCTCTCTCTCTCTCTCTCTCTCTCTCTCTCTCTCTCTATATATATATATATATATATATATATATATATAATCCTACTCCAATAAAGGGAGCTTTTAAAAGGCCTATTAAATTTTGGGCCTTATAATCTGGTGTAAAGGTCCAATAGTCTTTTAATGAACCTAGCCTAGTTATTTGACCTAGTCCACTAGTCTAAATGATAGATGATAGAGAGTTAGAAAGACACAGGGAGCCGCTGCAGAGACTGGAGCCGCTGGAAGCCTCTGCAGACCGTGACAAATGATTTGCGAGAAAGCTTCATTCTATCTTCTCCTCCGTCTTCTCTCTCTATCCCGCGTGTTCCCTTGCGCTTCTAAAACGTAGATGCGTCTCCAAGATAGTCACTAAGTCACCCAGGGAGAAAAAAGCTAGGCGTCCACATAGCCTCGCCCAGACGCCTAGGCGACGCCTTGATAACTATGTACTGGTCAGTGGTCATTCTATTTCCAACTTGATCATAAAAGAAATACCTTATTCTGCATAGACTAATAGTGATAGAGGTTATAGAGGAGAGTTGGAAGAGTTCCATTGAAGTTAGTATGAATGGCTATGTGATTCTCCCTAAACCCTGGTGGTGGGAGTTCTTATCTTATACATCTGGCATATGCACATATAAAAGTTATACAATGCTCATTTTGCATATTTATTTCTTTATACATACTCTAGAACATGAACATTACGTAGTATAAAATTAATATATGCACATTTAAAAATTGTACAATGCTCGTTTCGTTAAAAGAATTTTTTCATTTTGTTGCAAATAACATTTCCAATCCATAAAAAGATAAAAATGAAACTACATGAAAGCACAAATTTATTTATTTTTTCACATACTCAGAGCATGCACACCATCAAGTTATGTATGCACTTTTACGAGCTACATAATACTCATTGGATTTAGAAGAAAGTAGGTACAACCGTAAGTATAGGGTAAATTTCACCTATGGTATACGAACTTTCATTAATATTTCACTTTGGTATATAAACTTTAATTTTTATCACAAAAGTACACGAACTTTCAACATTCTTTCACCGGTGGTTCAATAGGCGGTTTCTAGGTCACCTTCAGGTCATTTGGGGTCAAGTTATAATTTTATAAATTTAAATTTTATAATTTTGACCCCTTTTCTTTTTTTCTTGGTTCTCCACCCTTGAAGAGGGGTTGGAAGAGGAAGAGAAGAAAAAAATGGAGGGGGAGGGTAGGGGGTCTTGAAGAAGATGAAGAAAGGGTGGAGAATCAAGAAAAAAAGAAAAGGGGTCAAAATTATGAAATTTAAATTTATAAAATTATAATTTGACCCCAAATGACCTGAAAGTGACCTAGAAACCGCCTATTGGACCACCGGTGAAAGAATGTTGAAAGTTCATATACTTTTGTGATAGAAATTAAAGTTTATATACCAAAGTGAAATAATGATGAAAGTTCGTATACCATAGGTGAAATTTACCCGGAAGTATAGTATAATTCGCCTCGTGGTGGTGCTTCTTTATCAAATAAATTCACCGACATTATGGTTTGTAGCAATACTAATACTTGCGTAAATTACAGTTTTCCTCTCATCTTTTTTAGTTTTCTTCCTCTTCAATCTTCACCCTTTATGAGAGCTTATCATCACATCTAAATTTCTTTGTTTCTCTTAATACGGCCAATAACCTCCACCCTTCCAACCTTTCATGGCAGAAGACCCTCTGAACTCTACCATGGCATCCCTACCATGCATCCCACTGCCTGCCAACCCACCATCCTCCTTGAAGCTGATCATAACCCACTGCGGCACTGCCTGCTGATACCCCACTTCACCTTACTTGGGCATTTCCTCACTGATCGCCCAATAAACTTCGAGGCAATGCCCCAAAGTTAAGCACCAATCCAGCGGCCAAATCTTGGTATGTCACTATGGTTCCATGTGACATTAGTGATGTCAGCAACCTCAACCACAGACTCCTGAAGATCCTGGGAAACCAAAAAGCCGATCCCCATTATTGTTCCTCAAAGCACCGGAGTACCACAACTTAAACCCATCCACATCACGTGCCATGGTGCACACCCATCTTACCATCTAGTCTCCTTGCAGACACACCACATGAATTCTCCACTTCTTAAGGACCTTCATCAGCTCTATAAACTTACCAATCAGAGTCCCTATGTCACAAACCAAACCTCAAACTAGATTAGACACACTCCTACCCCCCTTCCAGTCCAAGGCTTCACCCTACCGGAAGAGTCCCTATGTTCCACAAACCAAACCTCAAACTAGACTATACACTCTCCTACGCCGGGCGTAAATGAATCAAATAATTTTGGTTTGATTCGTGATTCGTATTTGAATACAAATGATTCATATTGATGAAAACAAATATGAATAAGAATTTAATTTTTTTTTGCATTTGGAAGTAAAACAAATACAAATTTGAATATGTATATATTCGATTCGGTAAATTGATGAATATATTTGAAATCAACTGTACAAATTAATATGAATATATTCTAGTTCTAACTTCTTTCTGATATGAACAGATTACATGTAAACAACTCATTTTTAAAACTAGGTTCTTGTATCTTATTTCTAGACTATAGTAACTAATTTTTGTACAACGTTATAGTCTAATATTTACGATTTATATAGTGTGTATTTTCAATGTCTAATCCTTCTTGATCCAGAAATGCATTACTTGAATCTCTTTGGATTTTTTGTAAGTATGCCATTTTAGATAAGTACTTCAGTGTAAATTATGTATTGTTCCATTGAGCTACATTACTAAAATTTGGTCTAACTAATGTAGCATAAAAATCAATAACATATAGTTTTCAATAGTTATATTTTCTGAAATATATTTTTTGTTTGACAACCGTTCATTAATGTTACTTAATATAGAGTATAAAAATAACTTAAATTAAAGAAATCAAAATGAATCTTGACACATCATTTAAACTCTGATTATCTGAATATTCATTTAGGATTCGTTAACTATTGGAATAGCAATAGCCCATATTTATTTAAGGCGTGATGCGCACCAATGCACTAAAGGGATCTAGTGCCTTGATGCGAGATGCGCGCTCATTATGAACACAAGGCGCAAATTGAGGCACTAGTAGAAATGTAGAATAGTATATCTATTTAGTGATAGTATATATAAAATTTTGAACAGCATAATAAAGTTTTAGAAATCAACCAAGAATGGAAGTCACACATTGTTTTAGAAATTCAAAGAACATAAGTCACGAAGAACATGAGTTTGGAGATTCTTCCATGCTAGAACAATGTGTTTGCAGGAAAAACTTGAAAAATTCACTTAACAAACAAAAGTTAATATAAAAAAAATAGTTTGCAGATGTGAAAAAAATATCTGCTAGACAAAGATTAAATTATTTGAAGAAAATTGTTATGTACATCAAAAAAATGTTTGAAAAAAAAAAGAGAACCTAGTATAAAAATACATAAAGGAGAAAAAAATATGTTAACTGGGAGGGTTAGAGCCTGCGACCACTGTACTACTTTCCTTTGGAGTGCAACAGTGCACGCTAAATCCCAAGCAATATCATTATCCATGGCGAGGAAGAGGGTCGAATCAGAGAGAAGAAAGAGAAGGGAGATTGTCGAAGGGATATGGCTGTATGCCTCACTTGCCTTTTATCATATTAATTTCCCTCACTTCCCTTTTATCATATTAACTTCCCTCACTTCCCTCTATGGCTATATCATCTCCACGAAATGACTTCAAGATGTTTGCCTAGCCTACTTGGCTACTTCCTCAACTTTATCCTTATGCCATTTGATGAAATGTTTCCTACTTTCTTAACTTCTACGAGTGTCTTTTCTTTCTCCTTTCCCATCCTTATCTCCTTCTCTTTTGATTGCAATTGATTGGAAAGTTTATCGACAATGACAAGTTATATTTAAATTCAGGAACATGAAGTACTTGAGACAAATATTTCATTACTAAATTTAACAAAACGAATGTTGGTAATGAGCTCTTGTTTGCCATTACGCATTGCAAAATGTAAAATTGAAATAATGATATATGAGGAGTGATGCGATCAAAAGCTCCACTATCAATAATTCACGTGAGCGTGAGGTAGAGGACAAGAAACAAGTGGAAACAAATTAATAGAAATATTTTTAATCACGTCTAAGGAATTATTTTCAACATAGTTACCACACAGCCTTGAAATAAATCTCTATAGAACTACTCTCTCCCTCTCCCTTCTGAAAGCTTCTTGCCTTTTTTTCTTACATTTCCTTTTTCCTCCATCTATTAATGTTTTTTATTGTACAAACTACGAAGCAAGCTCATTTTTCTTCTATAAAATACAAAAGAAATTATATTAGAATTATCAATAAAGTATAATATTCCCTTAGTCCCGAATTAAAAGTCCGCATTTCCTTTTTGGGATGTCCCAAAAATGGTCCTCTTTCCACTTTTAGAAAAGTATTTGTGCCTCATATTTTTTCTTTCTCCTATGCATCACTTTCAACCACAGAATTTTATTTTTCTTAAACTCCATGTTGAACCAAATGTGGACCATTACTTTGGGACGGAGGAATTAGTAACATTAATAATTTGATATTGCCTTAAGTTGAAAGACTTCTTTGATAGACTTAATCTTAGCTCAAAATGACCACTAATGCAGTCATCTGCTCAAAATGACTAATATTAATCTTAGCTTAATATTGATAATTGATGCACCGAAATATCCATTGTCAAATCTATCACCGNCCCCCCCCCCAATCAAAGATTGTGTTCATGAACTCCCAGGAAGAGGAGATGGATTATATACCCCTTTGGAAATGAGTTCCAAATGGTATGGAATAGCCAAGAATCAATATGATTGCTTTATTCTACCCTCATCTTATACTAAGAAACTGATATAGAAAAAAGACTTCTGCCCAAAATCGAATTTTACATACCAAAGCTTCAAGCTTGTTACTTGTAGGCCTAAGTCATCTTTCACTAGTAAAATACAGAAATCCAAGCTTGTAAATCAGTGCAAGTTTGTCGCGATGATATTATGGAAATCACGGATAGTGACTAATATTGGAGGCGTGCATACATCATTAAACGTATGTTCACACTTTGCACCGCACAGTTTGACTATCAAACACGGACAACCACCGGACTATGATTGCGAGAGGGAATATTAATTTGGAAATAAAGTTTTCAAAAATCATATGTTTATTATATTTATTTTATGTATAATTATAGTTGTACTATAAATAAATACATGAAAGTAGAAAGTTAATTTTGGGATGGTGGCAATTATAAAAAATGCTACCTGCACACTCTAGAACATCATATTTAGGGCATGTTTTGGTTGGAAAAACATAGTTGGATATGAGAAGAAACTAAAAGGAATTAGAAAAAATTGGAAAGAGTTGGAAGAAACTGGAAGGAGTTGAAAGAAACTAAGAGTTAGAAGAAACATGAAAGAGTTAGAGAAATTGGATGGAGTTAGAAGCAACACTGAGTTGGAAACAAGTGAAAGGAGTTGGAAAATGTTGGGAAAAAGTTGTTGAAATTAATATTATACTTTTGAAAATTCATGTTTTTCATTAAAATAATCTATACTCCGTTCGTTTCAACTTCATTTTTTTTTATGTTTTTTCTTGACACTACTTTTGGTACTCACATTCATTTTTATTTTTTCATACATTTTTTAATATTAATAATACAATTATTTTTTTCTTAAGTTGCATGACATTAACCCATGTTCCAAAAATTATGGTTAAAGGGAGAAACATTTTTTATAAATCTTAATTCACCTGGGAAATTTTTTTTATTTTAATTTAAAAAATAAAAAATCAGATAAAAAAGAAAAGAATTTGGATATAAGAAAAAAATCACCCCAATAAATATATATAAGAAAACATAACTCAAATAAAAAAACATCTTTGTATGTATTGGAGAGGACGTATATTATAAATTTGGATGTACGGTGGCATTGTATATTTGTCATACATTTACAAGTTATACTGTGCTCATTTCACACATTTATTTTTTTACACACTTTATACATACACATTTATCAGTTTCATTGCCAATAAAAACTTTTCACTTTGTTGTTTAATAAGTAAAAAAGAATAATCACACCACATCATCATATTCTTTTAAAAAGTAACATTATTAATCTCAATATATAAAGTGCTTTGTGAGGTTATTTTTGTTCCACTTGCACTATGAAAGGCAAACACAGAGATTTTTATAGAACACTTATTGTAAGTTTGACATATGCATATTAAATTTCAATATATTATATAATTTAAGTTAATCTCGTTCAAAGAAAAAGTATTGCATGTTATTTAAAAAATTTATAAAGTGTAATTGTATATAGAATATTTTATAATAAATAAATAAATTTATTAGGTGTTAACCCTTAATAAAGTAAATAAGAAACTAGAATTTAATACAAATTAATGACTCGAAAATAAACATAATTATGGAATATTGCAAAATTACAGATGAAAATATGTAATACTTATCTTCTCAACCACATAGTAGGCACAATAAGATGGGTGAGATTGAGTAAATAACCCTAAACACAACTAATTTATTGAAATAAACCATAATGACTATTCATATTGCTAAGCTCCGGAATGGCTAGAGAATACAGTGTATAAAATAACTTACCGGAAATCTTAGAAACCTGTGCAGGAGTCAGCTTAGCGGAATACCCTGTGGCTGCAGCCGTGTAAGTGTACAATATCGCCTCCTTCGCTGCATCCTCACTTTCCCCCAAAAACAACATACCCAAAAAGAAATCCGTTAGCGAAAAGCAATCCATTAGCCAAGAAACTTATCTGATTACAGGAAATCGAACAGAAAGAAGGGTAAAACGGCACCTGCCGAAGATAGGAGCTAGGGTTTCGACGTGATATTTGGCGTGGTCCTCGACATCGGCAGGTACCGTGGTATAAACGATGTAAACACTCGTATCTGAATCAGCCATGGCTGCAATGAACAAGAGCGATGCTAGCAGGGTGAAGAAATTCTGGGTTTTCGGCATTGGATTTGCTGTTTATCGTGTTTAGAGAATTTAGAAGAGATTGGATTGGTCAACACCAGAAATCCGTCCTAAGGGTAAAAATAAGATAATAAGTGGAAAATTTGAAAATTTGAAAACTTTTAGGTAACGAAAAGTTAGGTAATCAAAGATAGGGTAAAATAAGATAATAAGTTGGAAATTTGTGTTTGAATATTTATTGTGTAATGTGAGGTAGATAAACAATAAAATTACTTAAACATTTTTGTTCTTGATTTTCTTTATTCGTTTCTTGGAGTGACTTCCGTTAAATAATAATTGACTTTATACATAAAATTATATAATATTCTAATTACATAAAATATTTTTTTGATAAATATTTATAAGGTAAATGTAATAAAACAATTGCATCAATTTCAAACATTCTACTTCAACAAACAGATGAAAAAAATACAGAATTTTTTTAACATCAATTTCAAATATTGTTTTTCAACAAACAACAAAAAATACAGACAAAAATCCTTGCATCAATTTCAAACTTTTAAATTCAACAAGCATAGAAAAATACAGAAAATACAGAATCATATATAAAAGAAGAAGAAGAAGAAGAAGTATGGATGGGAGGAGGCCAAGAGAGCTGTATTGGAGTGGGAAAAAACGGAAGAGAAGGAAAGAGAACGGTAGGGGAAGGAAGGCGTAAACTTTACCTAAGTTGCCCGGAGAATCGGCAGACGGATATATTCAACTGTTACGCGGTTAGTTTACCTTCCCCGACCTCCATTTAGGGTTCGTTCCGTAGGACTTATTTTTTCTACTTATTACTTATTCTTATTAAAATCAGATCAGATCAGATCAGACAAGACCCAATCAGATCAGATCCAATCAGATCAGATCAGATTCAATCAGATCAGATTGGACTCAATCAGATCAGATCAGATCCCATCAGATCAGACCAGATCCAATCAGATCAGATTAGATCCAATCAGATCGGACCAGATCCAATCAAATCAGACCAGATCAAATCCAATAATATCAAATCAAGAAAAAATATAAAAGATAATATTTATATTTTTTTCAAGGATTAAATAATTATTATTATTATTTGATTAAATCACATTACTTTATTTAAAACTATACACACCTAAATCTTAATTAATATTATAATTTTAAATATTATTGATGTTATATTATTATTGTTGTTGTTCTTATTATTATTATTATATTTCAACTACAAACCATTATTTTATATAATTGTTTAGCTTGTAGGATAGAAATGATGCATGGAAGTAATGTTAAAGCTTAAAAAGTTTTATTGTTTTTAAAAAGAATTATTTTAAAATACTTGTTTATAAAATAATTATACAAAACTTAGTTTTCAAAACTATAAATATTTTATACTTAAAAAGACTTTCTTTTAAACTTTAAGATGATATAATATACACAAGGATGATTTTATGACAAAATTGATAGAGGTGAAAGCGATATTAGTGTTTAAAATTTTATATGATCTTTAATTTGTAACATGAAATATATTATTATGTAATATGTATATAGAATGTGATATTTTTGTAGAATAACATCAATATTTTCTAATATTTGTTTATTTTAATACCGATTATTTAGTTTTCACAAAAATTAAAAAAATTGTGATATTGAAAAGATGTTTAATATTTTTTAAAAAAAGTTTAAACATATTAATGATTTGCTGATTTTCTTAATTTACTTTTTTTTTATGTATATATGAATTGTAATACTTTAAAACTATTAAATTTTGTAATAATTTTAAGTTTAATTTAAATCAAATTTAAATTCATTTACACCAGATCTAATTAGAGAAAATCAGATCTCATCAAATCAGATCCAATTAGATCAGATCAGATCTAATCAGATCCAATCAGAATATATCAGACCCAATCAGATCAGATCTGATCAGAACTTCAAAAATTCAGACCAGATTCAATCAGATCAAGTGTACGGAATAGAGCCTTAACGACCTCGATTTCCTCGCCCAGACAAGGTAAGTTTTAATCTCACCATATTCTACCTCTCCCTCCCTCCATCCAAGCACAGTGTAAAAGAATTGTTTGGAAACTTACAAAATGACTTCGGAAAATGACTTCTCGAAAAATGAGTTATTTTTCAGAAGTCATTCTCCTTTTCTGATGTTTGGGAGAAAGTATAAACTTTAACCAATTCTGTTTGATTTGTTTCTGGAAAATAAAAATGGCAAAATGTGAAAATCTACCAGAAATTAACTATTTTGGACTCAATACTTCGAATTGCAATTACAAAAGCAATTGGGCCCCCAAAAAAAGCTACCGGAAACTGCCTAGACGTCGCTGCCCCCACGGTCATCTCTCACCAAATGCATCCGTTCGAGTAGAACCTGCTACTGGAAAATCAGATGATCCAATCTCTGAGCAGAGGGCAGAAGAGACTCTCCTAGATCTAGTCGTAGAGGAGTAGATCTCAAAGCATATAATAGGGGAGCCGAGCAGGGTGAAAGCACAGACCACCTGGTAGTACCCCTCGATGTTGTGCAGCGACGAGGAAAAGAAGTGAGAAGGGCAGAGATAGGCCGAAGAAGAAGACGCTGGAGGCAAGGCGAAAAATGGCTTCCAAAATAAATTTGGGAAGTCTCAATTCTGGAGAAAAACCTCATTTTCCATTTAACCACGCTGATTTTCCATTGACCCTTTATTTTCCAAGTTCACCAAACAGCACAAATAAGGTCATTTTCCTCTATTCCAAACGGACCCTTGGTTGAAGACTTGAAGTGCGTCTCACACTTAAACTCTGCTTGTCCTCAAGCAAAAACAACTCAAGTGCGAAAAAGGAATGACATGATTAGCTGTCAAAACTCATAATTTTTGAAAGCGACACAAAGTTTATAATCATATATCTTTCTCTTACTTCCAGCAATTCCTTAGATTTATTCTCTCTTTATTTAAAAAAACTAACTTATTTCTTTAATCTTAAGCCGATTTCATTCTCTATCCAATTCCCAAGGATTAAAATCTAATAGCCTTTGGACTTAAGAAATCTACTCGTCTGTCGTGACTTATTTTGATAAAATATGTGAGTATCCCATAAACATCCTAAGGATATTATTATTTGTAATTATTAATTAATTTTCCTTGGACAGAGCTCCGTCAGAGATAGAATACTCACTTATAATGCTAATAGACTACTAAGATTGTGGGTTTATCCCATTTTATTTGCATACTTGCTCCCTCACCTTATGTGATTCACGGGAGAAGCAGAGCTCTTTTCTGGAGATAGGATTCCCAATTCGTCACTTAAGTGCAATCTCAATAATCATTATAACAATTTAGAAAATAATGATGACAGAAGAGAAATTCCAAAAACCAAACTACTAGTTATTAATCCCTAACTTTTTCAACCATTAAACCCACTTGTGCATCACTTAATGGATAAGAAACAATATAATTAATTAAATAAAAGGAAAATAGAGAGGAAACAAAAGAGTAAGAGAGAGAAAATATGACTACAACTTAGTGTGTATCAAAAATTAACAAAGTAAGACAGCAAATCATACCTGATACTTGAACTCTACCTCCTCACACTTAAAGCGAACTATGTCCTCGTAGTCGGGATGCAAGAGATGAGTCAAATAACAGGGGTAACATTCCTCCTCACACTTGAAATGAACAATAAAGTGCAAGCATTAACCATATAAAAGTTTGCATAAATAAATTAGAATAGCAAAGAAATAGGCCAAGTCAAAATAAAAATGTTTAAATTCAACAGAAATTAAAAACATATCCACTACTGGTGACTGGCTCTAGAGGAAGGAGCTGTAGGCACAGACTTCTTACCGAGCAGCATCTCGAGCTCATGGAGCTTCTCCGTGTGGGACTCCAGGCGTTCATTCATCCTCTTCATTTGCTTCTCATGGGCGCTATGGTCAGTCTCCATGATGTCCTTCACATCCTGGATGCTGGTCTCGAGAGCGCCCATCCTCTTGTTCAGTCTCATCATCTCTTCCAAGATCTTCTGTAGCATGGATGCATCAACGCCACTCGATGAAGCTGTGTACGTCCCAGGCTGAACAAAAGAAGAAGAACCCCTAGCCACAAACGTCCCTGTGGTGGCATCTGGAATGGGAGAATGGACAGTGGTATCAAGCCCATCAAAGAAATCTAGTGGCGGCTTGTCGGTCTCCTCTACTCGACGTCTCTTCGCAATCCCCATCTTTGTGAGAGATGTGGTGCTCAGAGGGCGAATGCTCTGGTCAATGGGAAGCAGATTATCTAGCATCTCGGGCAGAAGAGAACGTGCAAGACAAGTGACAAAGGGTACTGCCTGAAGAGTCTTCCTATGGCTCTTCCCCTGAAGGAGGAAGAACTGAGCCATGAAGACAGCTAGGTTCACCTGAACCCTCTCTGCCAAACTCCAGAAGAAATAAATGTCTTTCATGTCGATCCGATTTGAATTAGTCGGACGACCAAAGAGACCATGAGAAAGCACGAAGCTAAGTATTCTCAGGCGCTGCTCCTCCACTGACAAGTATGCGATGTGTTCTTGTTGAATGGCATCATCAATAAGGAATGTTACTGCCAAAACCGCTCAAGACTAAACTCTGAAGGCAAAGAATATGGAAGAGCAGCAAAGACAAGGGAGTGTGCCTCCTCCTTAGTGTATATGTCCAGACGACGCCCGATCTCAGACATGGAAAGGGTGAAGGCTCGACCACCAAGTGAAAACGTCAAGGTGGAATCGGGTCTGACATCAGCTGCATTCTTGATAGGCCGGCCACCGTGCAGACACTGGTAGGTGCAAAGAAACTCTATCGTGAGCTCCCCAGCAAGGCAGCAACGATGCCAATTGACGAAGCTAAATATAGCGGTAAGTCAATAAATTAACCGAGAGTAACTTGGGTCGTCTCACAAGGATTGGCAAAGGGAAGTATTTGTTAATTAACTTACAGTGAAATTAATCTTAAACAAAAAAACTTAGAGCAAACAAGTATCAAATTGAAATAATCGCAATAATAGGATTAATTCAATTTATGATTTAGAAGTAGGTACGAATTGAACAGGTATATGGGCTAAGGTAATAATTTTAGATTAATTTAGCTTCTTGATTAATTAGATTTTAATTCATTAACTTATCCTATTTCTAGGCCTCGTTAATGTGTCTAAATATGGTTGGCTAGATTATTTTTCCTAACTCATAGACAAGCCAGACAAATAATCTCCAATGATTAATTAATAAATTGGCCAGATCTATTAATTAGTGAATCTCATTTTAGACAAATAAATCAATTAATCCAATCACTAACTTAATTTTAATCAATAACATTAGCCCATACCCTTAATTCAATTCATACCAAATGTAGATTTAGCCACTAAAAGCCATATAAACACATAATTTAAAATAAATAGTAAAAGAAATTCTATTAATAGAAGAAAAGTGTAGAAGAAAGCTTACATATCTTGAAGAATGGAATACAAATCTAACAAATCATCAAATCAACACTCTAAGACTTGTAGGAAGAACTCTCAAACTCTAGAAGGTAGAAGAAGTGGAATTTTTTGGATGATGCCAAGGGGAAAACCGAGATGGGGTATTTATACCCGACCAGACTCATAGGCGGGCAGACAGGCGGCCGCATGTTAGCCCGCCAATGCCAACTTCGGAAGCTTCTGGATCACCGACCGTTCTGAAACCTCGACAGGCGGGCAAGCCAGCGGGCGCCTGCTAGCCCGCCAGCGCTTTCACATGTCTCCTGCGCCCTTGTTCCCCGCTGGAGCCACTCATCGTCGTTTGCTCATCTTAGACAGGCGGCCTGGTAGGCGGCCGCCTGCCTGGTCGCTTGTCATTAGTCCGCACCGTTCCAGCCTTTTTTGCTAAAATATATCTTCTGAACACTTTTTCCTTCGGCTCCGACTTCCAATTCCATTCCAATAGAAAAATATTCCTAATTTCTTGTTGAAATCAAACATATTTTTATCTTTTCTTGGCCCATTCAATTAAACTACTCCAAAATATAGAAATATGACTTTTAACAGAAAAAATATTCTTTATTAAGATGAAAAATTATTCTCATACATAAAAAATATGTTAAATGTGAGGATAATATTATGTATAAAACGAGTTTATCAGCGTCTTTCGATTGGTATTAAGTTAAATCCTATAATGAGTTGAAGTGCGTTAGGTTTCCCTATTTAGTTCTCTATTATCAAATATTTATTCGGTGGTCCTTCTTTTGTGAGTTCCTTTCTACAAATAGTCTTTTTTGATCTTCTATCATATTGTTGTTAATTTGAAGGCTAAAAGTCTAAGATAATATATCTTTCTTGTCATAGACAATTCCAAAAGCCACTCATGATGCGTCGTTTGTGATTATAGTCGCATTGTACTACAACCATAGTCTACAGGTATGATCTTTTGTCGGAATCCTAGCCCACAATCATAGTTATTATTTTTGTGTTATCCGTCTAACCAGTATCAGAATACGTCATTGGACATAAAGTTGATATCAAATTATACTTTTAGCCTTTAAATTAACGCCAACATGACATGATATAAAAAAAGGACCATTTGTGGAAAGGCACCCATAAAAGAAGGACTATGAGGCTAATATTTGAATAGAGGACTAAATATGAAAATCCCTCTATTATAAAGGACCAATTATCGAATTTACTCTAATACTTATTCCCCTTGGTTCACATGACATTGAGAATCAATGTCATGGGATGACCCGGGGGTGTTTCGGTGCTCTGTTCGTAGAATTGACGATTCCTACCCCCTATAACCCCCCGACCCGACCAGACCCGAACACACCCCTCCACCTCCTTCAATTGCACCCCAAGTTAATTTTGACTTTTGAGTCAAACTTGGGGGTGCAATTGAAGGGGGTGGAGGTGTGTGTTTGGGTCGGGGCAGGGTGAAGGGGTTTTCCGGGGTGATAGAGGGTAGGAACCGTAAATTTTATGAATGGGACACCGGAGCACCCCCAGATCATCCCATGACATTGGGAATCAATGTCATGGGAACTGGCCACATTACTTATTAGTACTTTTTTATTGGATTCGGATCAGATCAATAACATTTTTAAATATAGCTACATTCAGATCCGATTAAATCAAATTTTATTTCAATCAGATTAGGTTGAGTTGAAAAAAAATTCACTCAATTATAATCACTAAAGCTTTCACATTTTTTAAATATTTTTTTCCCTTTTTTTCCTCTACGTAGATGTAATTGAGTAATTCTCTATGAAATGTTATATTAAATATATAATAAATTCCATAAATAATCCCTTATAACAAGTTATTTTCCATATTTGGTTCTTAATTATTCGATATTACATTCGTGGCCCTCAATTTTTAAAGACTATTTTATAATCAGTCCTTTGAGACTATATGTGGAAAAACTTTTGGTTACATTTGGTCTAAATGACTAATTATGAAAACTTCCCAATATAATAAGTGTTAAAAAGGTGACACTATCCATACAAAAAGAAAATATTTATACTCCATGTCTAATGCATTTGTTATTGTAACACCTCAACCCACGTAACCCGAATTAATGGCTTAACAAACTAAAATATTACTAAATTGGTATCCACATACAATATTTTTCCAAATAAATTAAAATAATTTAATTCAAATTCCAAACATTACAAATGATTCAAACATTTACTGGAGTTAATTCAAAATAGTGCTAAAGCTAAACTGTCATTTAATAAAAATCATCTTCACATTATTAACTGAAAATCATCGTCGTAGTTATTCTGTTAAAGCCCTGCATCCATGCATCTCCTCCGTCTCGCTGCTCTTTGGAATCAATTGACCTGAGTCTTACCTGCGTGCAACCAAAACAAAACAACTACACGCTCAGCAATGAGCTGAGCGAGAAATATCTAACATTGCGAACATACACATAAGTGAATCCACTAGTCCACAGTTGTTACATGATATCATGCACATAAGTCTAATACCATGCAACTCACATGTACAGCTAATCACACAAATTACCTGGCACTTGTTCATCCTTGCTCTCATCATACTTGTGCATTCATCATAATGGTGGATCACCATTAACCTGTACTTATGATCTATACTAGATTAAGGAAAACAAAACAGTTGCACGCTCAGTGATGAGTTGAGCAAAACATTTTGAACATACACCTACTAATCCACAGTTGTCACATGATATCATGCACATAAGTCTAATACCATGCAGTTCACATATACAGTTCATCACATAAAATACCTGGCACTTGTCAATCCTCGTTCTCATCATACCCTTGCATTCATCATAATCCTAGATCATCATTAACTTGTACTTATAAACTATACTAGAGTATGGCCTTCCTACTTTTTCTTGGAGTCATGATTGTCCCCCCTGAATCAGGGGGTTATGCTCCACCAACGAAGGAGTTCTTGTTAGGATCGATTTTTGGAACTTCCCAGTGGGTAACCCATCTTGGGACTACTACCATTTCAGCACGCTTAACTACAGAGTTCTGAAATCAAAGAGGTGTCAAATGCTTCCTAAAACCAATTGGTGATAGGAGGGTGGACACTTTATATTTAACTACATCCCTCTGTAGCCCCAAACCGAGGTAGATTCCTATAAGGCACCCCTACAGTTCACTACGGTAGTGCAGAGCCCCACTGTGGACAGAATGGGCTTCGTAAGATACATGACACATGTACCTCACCATGTTGGGCTGTCAATACGCGATACCGTGACAAACTGTAACACCCTAATCCGTCCAGGTCTGCAGCCCCCTTCGGACTAAAGTATTAACTTGAAAATGTACCAAAATACGAGTTCCATATATTATCAATCATGAGCATGTACATTACGTAAAATGCATACGTACATCGGCATATTGCCACAGTGCGATATTCTATTTAGGGAATAAAACAAGGAACTCTTATTTTGATATTTTTTCTATGTTTTAATCCTATTTAGGGTAATCTTTTATTTCATTTTGTATTTGTACTACAAAATCTATTTTGTTCATAACTTTTTATATGTAAGTCATTACTTAAAAAAAATATACAGGTGGAAATATTTTTGCAAGATCTACCTAATAATACCAATGATGGATATATATATGTATATATATTTGAGGCTATGTCTCATTGATATTTTTTGTCTAAATACTTCTAAATTGAACAAGAAACGTTTTATTATTATATTTTTGAAGCGAAACACATTTTAATATTAAATTACGCCATCATATTTTTTTCTTTAAAATTAAACTAACTTCTGTTTTTTTTTTCATTTTTTGGTTATGCTATAAAACTGTAAAGCATGTTTGGAATGAAAATACTGTTACTTAACATTTATAACGTTTTTATATGATTCTTATTTAAAGAATTAGTGGTAATCCTATTTTTAGTGGTACAATAGAGTATTTTCTACTCCGTATTATTAATTATCTTTTCCTGAGCATTATAAAAAAAATAATATGGTATAAAAAATTTAAACATATACTCCATAAACTTTAAGTGTAAATTATGTGTCGAAAGATGAATATAATGAATATCAAAGTAAAATAATAATAATAAATCCAAAAACATAATAAAATACTCCCTTCGCCCCCCTGTATTTATCCACATTTGACTTTTGGAACTGTTCATCTAAGCACTTTGACTCATCAAATTCTCTCAATGTGTAAGCCTAAATATAGTCATGTGTGATCTTGTTTGATTTGTCTTAACATATAGATTATTAATATATAATTTCTATAATTTTTTAATATACAAATTACAAGATAAAATGGATTAAAGAAATGCATTGGATGATGTGTAAAAATGAAAGTGGACAAATACAGAGGGACGGAGGGAGTAATATTTTATTATTTTATATTATTACGGAGTATTTTATAAAAGATAGAATTTTAGTGAATAAAAATAGGTAAATATTAAAAGAAAACTAAAAATGTAATCATTGTGAACGATGTTAGATACAAGGACGATTGTGGAGAGGGATTATGGTATGTGTACCCCAAGTTTGTACCCCAATTTGTATCCCAAAGTGTTGGTGTAAAACTAATTTTTGTTAAACGCACCAACATTTGTGTCCGTGTGAATATTTATTAACGCACCAACACTTGTGTCGGTGTAAACCATCGAAATGTTTGTGCAAGCTTGTGGTGTACAAATGGGGTATATTTTTTGGTGTAAGTGTGTCCTTGTGTAGAGTGAGTCGCAATATACAAAAAAAAGTATTGCTGCCGAAGAAATGAAGAATGATCTATTACAGCCCCTTTCAGTAAGAATAAAAAAGGTACTCCCTACTCCACAAAATTGGTAGGAACTGGTGATCAGTTGAACGCTGAAAATTTTAAACCCTAGCTTACCTAGCTAGCTGTGGCTGCGCTGATGGAGAAATCAGCAGACTATGGAGACCTTCAATGCGTAGGGCGCCTAGAAATCGTCCGGCCCAAACCAGTAGGTTTCATCTGCGGCTCTCTCCCAGTTCCTACTGACAAAGCCTTCCATGTGATTAAATCTGCTCTCGTCCCATCTCCACATACGTAAGTAAATCGATCATCTCTGTGAATGCCGCCTATACATGCATTTATGCACTTTTCGTAATTGAATTGTATGAAACAGTGGCAGATTCAGAAAAAATATGACTGGGGCAAATTCACACTAAATAGTATGGTGAGGTTCAGGAGTGGCACTTCCCATTTTTTAAGCGCTTGATAATGATAAAAATAAATAAATTCAATTTCAAACAAGTATTCAAATACAAAAAATTATTTTTAAAGTAGAAAAATAAAATATAAAATATATCATATTATAATATAATTATGATATTTCAAATATTTTACCTGTATATGTTTTTAAGTGATTATTTTTTACTTTTAAACTAAGATTTTCTTTTGTCAGTGGGGGGAAACTAATTTTTTACAGGGGTTATTCTTTTAATTCTCTACAAAAAAATATTTTAATACTATATGTTACAGAGTAAATAAAATTGACTGGGGGCGACCGCCCCCGTATTCATACATGTAGATCCGCCCCTGTCTGGAAATGCAAACTTGGATGTATGTAGTTATTGTTGCTGTTGTTATCATTATCGTTATCACGACTTTTATCATTGCTATTAGAATCCAATGTTTGAACCATAAACTTGTGGAATGCCAATTGGTGAAGTATAGAAACCTTTTTGTTTTGTTCTGTTTTGTTACTTGCTGATCTTGCAGTTTGTGATGCTTAAACATATATGGTACCAGTTACTAACATGACAGTTTCTACCTGAGAAAATCAGTCATACCTGACCTCGAATTTGGTAAATGTCTAAGCCTGTTAGTGATCTCAAATAAGGAAACATAGGAAATGATATGCAATGGTAAGAGTATGAAGAAGAAAAGAAAACAAAAAATGGATTTCAACACCCACAAACCAGCATAGTCCAGTTTTATAAAAAAAACTTGTATATAAGTCACATCTGGTTAGCAATGAGAAGAATATAGAAAAAACAACTAAAAGGTGATTTGTGTTATATGTGTTTTAAAAATCACACATTTTCCATGGCTGCCACATCACACGAACTTCTAGTCCAACTAATATTAATTTTCCAAGGAAAAATTGCAAAGTATAATGTCTGCATCTAACAATTTCCCTTGATTTGGATTCACATACATATGACAATTTCTTTGTCCATATTATTGTTTCATCTATTTATGAAGTATATACTAAAAGGCTTCTTTACTTATAAGTTATAAGCATGCTGTTGAAGAAAAAAGAAAAGAATACAAGAAATATCAATTGTGGCCCCTCAAGTAACAACAACGTAGTTGAATTCCACGAGAGTAGGGTCTACGGAGGTGTGTGTACGCAAACCTTACCCCTACTATAAAGTAGGGAATCTATTTGCAAGAGATCCAAGCTCCCGTAACACAGAGAGCACGGAAAAGAAGCAAAGAACAAAGTAAGGCTAACAAACGAAAACATGCAAGAAGCATAGAGCACCAATCATAAAAAGAACCCAACGACAAGTGAAAAAACTACCACCTAGCCCAAACGCCTATCCAATCTAATCACCTCCTAATTCTTCTTAGGTCTACCTCTTCCTATATTCTTGCCTACTATTATAAGCTCTCACATGTCTACACCGGCGCTTCCGTCGCCTCGCATGCCAAAACCATCTCAACCTAGCTTCATGCAACATATCCTTAACCAAAATATTCTTCGAGAATCACATTCATCAATTTTGACCCTCTAAGTATAGATCAAAATAAATTTTGGTCCATCTTATTTCATGCATTTAATCAACTTTCATAGCACCGTTAAACTCTATCCATTTTGTAACAGTGAAAACTAGAGAGAAATAAAGCGGGTGAATTACCTTGCCAAAACAACTAATTGTTCACAAAATTCGTATAACTCTCATTTTTTGGATGCCTTAATCTTCTCATTATTTTAAGAAATTATATTTGGTTCACTTTTTTTTCCCATCAGTCCTAAATCATTTGTCTTTTTGACACCAGGCTTGGGTGTCATAAAATGATGCCGACCATTTGGGAACTTGCAATACTTTGTTGGTATCGGGGAGTTGAGTAGAGGGTGCAGGGGCGGGGGTCGAGTCGGGTGGGTTGCCCCAGGTCAACATATTGAACAATGATGGGAGGGGATTTGTGAGGTGAATTGGGCCCGGTTTGGGGTTTATGGAGCACTGTAGGGCCCCCAAATGGCTTCAATATCATATCCATGATGTTTCTAAATAAACCTCGAATACAAAATTCATTTTAGTTTTTGGCAAAATAGCCATTTGCCAAGTCAAATTGGGAAGTAATTTCTAGAGCAATAGATTCACTAAAAAAAAATTCTTTTATTAGTTTTTTTGGCAAAATAGCCATTTGCCAATAAATGATGTTGATAAAAATGTATTTATATTGCCATGGAGTATTTTCTTCCATCATCTCCGAGGGAGCCAAAGATTCACTATTTTTTTTGGCTTTGGGTGTGATGGAATTAAGCAAAATGGTTCTTTACACTCCCTGCGCTTCTTTTTCAATATTGAAGTAGCAGTCAGTCAATGCAACTTTCAATGCTCATCATGGGTCATCCTGAAACAACCGTTCTATGTTTTAAACATAGGTGTTAAACTGCATACATCGATACATCCGATCCCCCTTACCTTGCAATGGGCGGGGTAATGTTGTTGTTGCCATGGAGTATTTTATATTATTAAACACATGTTTTAAATTTATGTTAGTTGGGCTTTGCTTTTGAACAATTCCTTATTTTAGTGATATAAGATAATAATTTTTTCTCTTTCTAGCTTTCACAGTTAAATATTGGATGATAGCAACACAAAAATTGATTAGTTGGGGATACCTGAAGGGCCAAAATTGATGAATGAGATACTTCAAGGGTGAAAATGATTTTGGGGAATACTTGGGGATGAAATTGATGAACGTGAAATTTGAGGGACCAAAAATGATTTTGATAGAAAGAGAGTTGCGTGTTTAAATGGATTGTCTTGAGTTCCTGAATTGCAATCGTGGATATGAAAGTGTCATTATTCGTGCTTCACTGAGGGATTATATTGTATGCATTTTGTGACAAAGAGTCAAAGACAGTAGTAGTCATCGGATTATTAAATTGCTAACTTCAAACTTACAATAATTTAGGGTCCAAGCTCCACCTCTAAGATACCAGATGATTCCAACGGAGACAAATCTGAACACTTTGCCCCTTCTCTCTAGTACTCTAGAGAAGGTTATTCCCGTAGCAGCCACACAGTTGAGGTCAACGGGAGGTAAGGCCGTAAAGCTTAGTATATGTGAAATATTCTTTAATTAGTTTACCAGTTTTAAATTTGTAGTTACAAATTAGTCTTGTTGGTTAATATGCACGGATAATATTTTGCAGTAATTTTTTGCAATAAAGTGCTTACTATGTGCAACATGTTTGCTTTATTTTGCGGTATGGAAATTACCCAAGCAGGGTTAGCTTGCTTCAAGTTGCTTTCACCAAATAGTGAGTACGAAGTAGTTTATTATTTATTCTTCATATGATAGGTGTGAAATAGTTGTAAATGATGTAGGATTCTTCTAGAGTGATGAGGTCATGCTAATGAGGTCAGCACCCATGATCTCTGGTAGAACTCAAGATTGGTGGGGAAAATAAATGAAGGATAGTCTTTATTGAATTCTGAAATCAGGATCTAACTTCATAAATAATAAAGATGAAGGAAAATCTTTATCAAAATATGAGTAAGAATCTTAAACTCATATAACTAATAAAGCCAAGGAGAATCCAATGTTAAAATACTGTGTAATCTTCCATAATCCATACACATGACTAGATGTCTATTTTTAGAAAGAGTCTAACTTCTACTAATAGTAACTAACTCATAACCACCCACTAACAAAGTGGGAATAACTTACCCTAAACCTCCCACTTACTAAGTGGGAAAAACTGATCACTAACTTCCCACTAAATGGAATTAAATAATTATTAAATGATAAATATGAAAAATAAAAAGACAACAAATAATTAAATAGTTCTAATTACTTAAATATAATATGACTTAACCAACCAGCCTGGAACCTATCATTACTCCCCTCTTGGAAGCACGATCTGTCCTCGAGTCGTAACTTGGCAACCTGATCACTTCAATGCTTCCTTGTATATCCGGGGGCTTTGGTAGGAGTGGCAGGTAAACAATATAAGAACCAGCTTTGAGCAAACTGTATTTGTATAGGGGCATGCACTGTTGAAAAGTTGATGCTGCTATGGTAGCGTACAGGGTATTATAAGAAAACTTTGAATTCATTGTGGTAGATGTACTTATGTCCTTTCTGCGATAAAGTATTGTGGATCTGCTGTTAGCTCTAATTATGAAATCAGGATCTAACTTCATAAACATTAAAGATGAAGGAAAATCTTTATCAAAATATGAGTAAGAATCTTAAACTCATACAACTAATAAGGCCAAGGAGTATCTCCAATGTTAAAATACTGTGTAATCTTCCATAATCCATACACATGAGTAGATGTCTATTTATACAAAGAGACTCTAACTTCTACTAATAATAACTAACTCATAACCACCCACTAACAGAGTGGGTATAACTTACCCTTAACCCCCTACTAACTAAGTGGGAATAGTGACCCCTAACTTCCCACTAAATGGAATTAAAGAATTATTAAATGATAAATATGAAAAATAAAAAAGACAACCACAAATAATTAATCAGTGCTAATTACTTAAATATAATATGACTTAACCAACCAGCCTGGAACCTATCAATCTCATACCTTGACTAAGGTATTTAGCTTTTTATATATTTGTGAGTCTCCTGTCATTTGAGAAGTATGAAATCGGAGAGTGTTCATCAGATTTTACATTGTATGAGACCTAGATTTTTGGCCAACTTTCTGGTGACATTTTCCGGCAAGTGTTCTTCATCTACAAGTGTATAGATTAATTCTCTGCTGCAAACAACCCTCAAGCCAAAACAATAAAAAAGTCTCTGGCAACATTTCCTGGTTACATTTCCAGCAACTTTTTCCAGCAGCACACTTCAATGGCAAGCTCGACTCCTCTCTTTGCCAATAAACATCCTGCCGTTGTCATCCTCTATCGCACGGCTGCCATCGACGAGAAAAAGGCCAGTTTTTCATTTTCGCAGATCTACACCAATCCCGCAATTTTTTGACAACACCACCACCACAACAGATCATTGCTGCGACTCTGCCAATGCAAAACACGCCAACCGCTGCTTTCCGCCATGCGCCTCCGATATCCTCCCCACGCCGCCATTCATTTTAGACCAGAAACTCCATATTCTTTTGCTCATGATTCTGCACCCCTTCTGCAATCCAAATGGTGTCAGTTCTGTCAACTTTTGCTACTATTCTAACTATAACCGCAGTTCTAACTATCAAACGTTGGCTGTTTCTGTAGAGATGTGGTTCAAAGGTTGTCAAGGAATCAACTCAACCAAAAGCTCACGCTTGTGGTTGTAAGAAGAAAATCTTTTTTTTTTGGTTCAAAGGGATGCTTTTTTTTGCAATATTGATAGAATGAACTACAAGAAACAACGAAGACGCCAACTCTATAAAATTCCATTGTTCCCTTTTCTCATTTATCTTTTAATTTATTCTCAGGACACTACAAATACCCATGCACTTCACTTATTAAATTTCTCAGGGCTTGCCCAAAAAAGCGTAGGTTACATGCATGTATTGTCACTGTCATATTTCTAGATGTTAGATCTACTAAAAATGGAGGGCAGACCTAGCACAATGGTGGCGTGTCTCCACTATGTCATGGAGAACCCGGGTTCTAATCTTTCTCTTTACAGGCTTACAGAAGCATGAGGGATGTAGCTTAGGTATTCCCTTCACCAAACCCCACAATGTGGAGCTCTGGGACTGTGTACCTGGTTCTGGGTCCACCTTCTTTTAAAACAAAGTTCTTTCAAATTTATTATTGTTGGGCCCTGTCTAGATTCACTAGAGTCGTGCATGCGTGCGTTCAATATGTGGCACTGACTGCTACACAAGTTCAAGGTAATAAGGTTATGTTTTCACTGTCAGAGGCTAGAAGCTATATATTTTGGCGTAGTGCTAAATGCCTGAACCTGACAACACATGCACATTTTTGTGTGTACTAAAGATTGTTGTATGGTGTCAAATACTCATGCTTCCTATTCATTTGTCTCCAATAGTGTTCCTCCTCTTGTCAAAATACTACATGCGTTATTAGTTTGCCTTCAATAGTCTCTCTTTCTACAGGGTGTACATCTTGACTCCTAGACCCCAACAGAGTTAGGACTAACTGGGTTTGTTGTATATGCATTCCTTTTCCATATATAATCTCTGGACATCGTTGCTTAAAGGCAGTTCAACATCCTTCTTTTATGGTTGCAGATTTGTCATGGGAAACTAATACTATCACATCAAACCTTACAAGGAAAGGTGAGGCTCTTGCTGTTTCAGGTTTGGTAGACTCCGAAGATGATATTGATGTCATTGCCTCTACCGATATTCTGAAGCAAATCTTCAAGATCCCGTACTCAAAAGCTCGATTGTCAATTGCAGTACATCGCGTTGGTCAGACTCTAGTCCTCAACACAGGGTAGGCCTTTATTCTGTATTGTCTCCCTTTTGTTCTCTTTGAAACTTCAACCTTTAACAATAAAAATGTGCAGCATGGCCTGTCATTGGTAGTTGGTACGATATTATGTTATCATCTTTAGACGAACTTGTTGAAGGTGCGACAAGTAGTATCCAACTTCATATCACTAGTGATTGCTACCATTGTTATCTTAGTATTTTTCTGTCAATTGAGTAATTATTGCAAGCTTTGACCCTTGGTCATTTGTCAAGGAATGAATCTTTTGTGACTAAAGAACCAAGAGTGGTTAACTTCATTCAGATGAGCTTCTTATCTGTTTTCTCTTAACCCTTCACACTCTTAAATTTTCCAAAATGCAGGCCTGATGTTGAAGAGGGAGAAAAACTTGTACGAAGAAATAATAATCCACAGAAATGCACCGATCAATCTTTATTCCTCAATTTTGCGATGCATTCTGTTAGGATGGAAGCTTGTGACTGTCCACCGACCTATACATCACAAAAAGGGTCAGATTCAGCTGTTCACCATCAGCAATTTGAACCAACAGAAGTTCCAACCAAATCTTTTAAACACTCAGTTCATGGAAATAATTCCTACATGGATAGTGATAGTTCTGATAGGGATAAAGGATCTAGGTCTCATTCCAAGTATAAGTCATGTCAAAGAGATTTATTCTTGGGCAAGAAGAAGATTAAGAGACCTAAGGGTCATGATGCTGCCAAGGTGTCCCAAGTTAAAGAAATGCCAAGGAGTTCAGTAAAAGAATCTGAAAAAAATAGAAGATGTTGTAATGATAAATTTTCAAGGGTCTTGTTTTGGCAGTTTCACAGCTTCCGTATGCTCTTAGGAAGTGATCTGCTCATATTCAGCAATGAGAAATATGTTGCCGTGAGTTTACATCTGTGGGATGTTTCACAGAAGGTGTGTATTATATACCCTGTCACAGCTTACCCTCTTTTAGCTAATTTAATATTCATGAGTCAACCCAAATTTTCATTTCTTTGCTTTCTTCTACCATTTTTAGTTTAAATTTTTGAATTTTGTTTTGAGTTGAACGGTGCTTTTAATGTAGTTTCTAAACTATAATGTTTTTGGCTTTTTATGAATAAAAAGTTACAAAATAAATCACTAAATAAATTTAGTTTTGGCTCATTGCATGGGTGGGACATATATAATGAGGTGGAGGGAGCTATGGGTTGCAATTTATCAGATTTTCCAGTTCATTTTGGCAGGTTACTCCACTTATCTGGCTGGAAGCATGGCTAGATAACATTATGGCTAGTATCCCTGAATTGGCAATCTGTTACCATCAAGATGGTGTTGTACAGGGTTATGAACTCCTGAAAACGGATGACATTTCTCTGTTAAAAGGAATATCCGAGGATGGTTTGCCTGCTTTCTATCCTCAAGTTGTTGAACAAAATGGACTCTCCGTTCTAAGATTTCTTCAGGATAACTGCAAGAAAGATCCTTGTGCTTATTGGGTACATTTCCATTTTAATAAATTTTGCACAACCTTCATATAAGCAGACCTTTAAAACAGACCTGGAACCGATAACCTGGAACCTAATCTGAAATGACCCAAAAACTGAAGAACCGAAGTATAACCAAACACCCGAAATGATTTGAACCGAACCAAATGTATTCAAACCCGAGATACGAATCCGATTGAATTCATACGGGTTAAACTTAGAATCGACTAAACCCGGAACCGATTAGACCCGGAATTGATTAGACCTAAAACCGATTAAACCCGATATTGATCAAATTCAAAACAAATTAATCTCAAATCCAATCAAACCTAATAGCTCATTAATATTAAATTTATTAAATGAATTTGGAGAAAAAAATTATATTTTAACATATGTTGATGTCTTTCTAAAAAAGTATATTTGATTTATAGGTACAATTGCTTTCATGTACAAATCGTTTACTCCATATGTTATCACTTAAATAAAGGTGGTTGTCTATTTTTATACAGATTATATACAATTTGTAGTGACATTCTAACACATATTTTATGTAAACAATGATAAACTCCGTATTATTGATTTATTGGTATATATTCAAAATATATCTGAATCAATATACATCTGAACTGATATATATCCGAACCGATATCTATCTGAACCGGGACCGAACCAAAACCGGGAAAAAATCAAATTGAATTGAACTCAAAATCAAACTGAACCAAACCGAACCGGTTATAACATAAATCCGGAAGAGACCCGAACCGAAAAAATCCAAACCGAAAAAATCCGAACCGGAACCGGGCCGATTGACCCGATTGCCAGGTCTACATATAAGGCCCAAATTATGTCTTTGAAACTGCTTTAATTTATAGTTTTATTTAATCTCTTTTGTAGCTGTACAAAAGTGCTGGTGAAGACGCTGTCCAACTTTTTGATTTATCTGTCATACCCAATGACCATCCCTCAGATGACTACGATGATAGCTCAAGCTCTCTGCCATCTCTTATACACAAAGGAAGAAGTAGTTCCTTACTTTCGTTGGGAACACTATTGTACCGGATTGCTCATAGACTTTCACTTTCAATGGTTTGCCCTTCCTATTATGTTATACTTGTGTGATTTTATTTTGTTCTGTTGCTAATATTGGCTGCTTTATCAGTCTTCTAAAAACTGGGCAAGATGCAAGAGGTTGCTAGAAAAATGTATAGATTTCTTGGAAGATCCTGATCACCAGGTTTGTATTCTTGAATAGTTTATGGAATTGAGAAACACTTCTTTTTAATATGATCTTTTTTGGGAATGATGAGCATGATTTCTCTGAGCTCTGTTGTAACTTAGTTTTTTCCCTTTTATGTCGTGAAGTTGCATGCTTGACTTTAAAATCCTAAATGCAGTATGTTTCAATTTCAAGGATGCTTTTAAAACCTTAAATCCGGTAATGAGAGGTCAGACTTGCTCATGTAATGAACTGTAAAATTTTAAGGTTAGAAACATGAGAAATGTTAGATGTGCTGCTTTTCCTAGTTGGTAAACTAGGTGAATATACACACATAATACACATATGATTACCTAATCATACAACTAAATTTGTATAAAATATTCGTGAATTAAGTATCCTTGGAAAACAATTCGTTAATATTTGGTTATACGTGAATAATTCATACTCCCTCCGTCCCCAGAGTATTGGGCGAATTCTAGCGATCAATTGCATCAAATTTGTATTACATATTAATACAATGAAATAACTTTTTGAAATATTTCACCAAGATAAATCTAATGAAATCATGTTTGTATTAAAATGCAATACAATTTTTATTTAATTGAAGTTCAAAATTTATTCAGTTTGACTAAAAAAACTCAAGCTGGACTAGTACTATGGACGGAGGTAATAATAAAATTTGCAATTTTGGACAACATAGCTTTAAGTTAAACAAAATCTACGATCAAACATTTCACTATGACAATCATATTTCTCTTGGAACATTTTCTATATGTTACTTTGTATCTCTCTCTAACTACATTTGCCTATATTAACAACAACCACGACTAGTCCACTGCACTCTTTGTACAATTATCTTTGTCTAACAAGCTTCATAAACTGCTCAAGTCATTCAAGAATAGTTTGCATAGTTTGAATTTTCTAGCCACATTGTGTAAACTCTGACCATAAATTGCATTAAAGAATAGAGTTATAACATAAACTTAATATCATTAGATTTATTTTAGAATGTTATTTTGAGAATATATATAATTTTTACATTATTTATTTAAACATAATTATAAATATTAGTGGTTAAAGTGTTGTCTCGAAAACCGTGATATTCAAGCTCCCCAATGTTTTTAAGAATGGAGGTAGTAAATATTTAATATAACTTTACAAGAAAAAAGTTACTTATTCTTTATGTTGTTTTGCAAAATCATTTCACATTCTTTAGTAATGTTTGTAGTTTTGCATAGAAACCCTCCATTATTGAAAATGGGCATAACATACATCAGAAGATAAGAAATTATCAACGAAGAATTTAAGTCCTTATAAATTTATCCATTCAGTATTAAAGGAAGCTATATGTATATATATATATATATGTATGTATGTTAATATGTATATGTGTGTGTATATGTATATACATATATATGTGTGTGTGTGTGTGTGTGTATATATATATATATCCTTACTGTGAGAATATGAAAAAGATGCATTTTCAGAATGTCGTGATGCATTTTACACTTGTAGTAATGCATTTTCAAAAAGTTCAATTTATTTAAAAAATTGTCACCATGATTATTTCAATTTTTCAGAATTTTTGATTTTTAATAGCCCTTATCTCTTAAATCTAAAGGATCATATGCATTCTTGTTTCTTTCACTATGCACCATTATATATATATATATCTGTCTCTGTGTGTGTGTGTGTGTGTGTGAGGGGGGTTATTCTTACAACAATTATTTTTACATGTCTTACAACAATGGAATCGGGGCACCTACAGTGCTCCGTTCGTAAAAAATGATAGTTCCTACCCCACATAACCCCCCATTAAACCCCCACACCCCGGCCCTAACGCATCCCCACACCCCCTCTGATTGCAATATCCATGCAATATCCATGCACGCGCACACATACACACATATATATAAATGTGTGTGTGTGTGTGTATATATATATAAATATATATATATATATATAAATATATATATATATATATATATATGTATATATATATATATATAAACAAATAAATAAATAAATAAATAAATATACACACACACACACATTTATATATGTAGGAGTTGTAATCTTACACCATGTAAGATTACATTACTTGGTCACCGCTTAAATTCGGGCTCTTATGGTCCTCAGCTCTTAAAATTGATGGTTCTTACTCACCTCCTCCCCCCCCACACACAGCTCTGTGTTTTAAACAAATGGGTCAGGCTACGTACGTGAACGTGATTACCTGTGGTGCCTGAGCCGGGGGTCTCTTTGGAAACAACCTCTCTACTTTCGAGTAGGGGTAAGGTTTGCGTACACATACCTCCCAAGACTCTACTTTTGTGGGATTCGATTTGGTTGTTGTTTTATTCTCATACCCTATTGGCCTATTATACTAACTAGGCTAGTATTCATTACATGTGGGTGAGAATGAAGTTGTCATAGGAAACATGAGCATTGCAATATGAGCATAATTCTAGTAACTTTTAATTGTAGGGTGGGGAGACTTTACTATCTGTGCAGTATGAAATAAATTGATTTTTTACTGTATAACAGGTTATACGCGGATTAGCTCATGAACAATTTGCAAGACTCCTTTTAACTTGTAATGAAAATCTGGAGGTTTTGTCTGAACCACTTCCCTTGGAGTCTGAAGTGGTGATCACTGATACTGACAAGGAAGATTCAGTTCATTTCTTCACTGGTATCTCTGAACTGAGGCTCCATGAGAAAGTCCCTTTACAAGTTTCTGGAGATCAACCAAGTGGAGATGCTGCACTTTTGAAAGACTTTAAGTCTGGGGACCCTGTAACAAAATCAGCTGGAAACTTAGCGTCATGCCGAATACTTGAATATTCAAGTGAGATGGATGCAGGTCATGCAGCACACTCTGAAGGACTCCCGAGTACCAATGATGCAAGATTTGAAGTTGACCACTATTCAGAAAGCACCAGTGCTGCTGTCCAAGATGTTTCTGATCCTGTCCGTTCTAAGCTTGCCGCAATACATCATGTGTCTCAAGCTATTAAAGCTCTTGGTGGATGGAATCGACAAAGACGAACCACTAATTCAAAACTAGACAATGGTGACGGAACTGAGGATGACCTGCCTCTTTCAGTAAAATGTTTTGTTTGTGCATGTGGTGATCCTGACTGTATTGAAGTTTGTGACATTCGTGAATGGCTTCCAACTTCAAAATTGGATGATAAGTTGTGGAAACTTGTTCTCTTGCTTGGAGAGTCATACTTGGCCCTTGGGGAAGCCTACAAAGATGGTGGTCAGTTGTATGAGACTTTGAAGTGTGTAGAGTTAGCTTGCTTTGTTTATGGATCAATGCCTCAATATAGGGAAGAGACAATGTTTGTTTCTTCCATTGGTTGTAGTTCACTTACTGAGGAAGAAACTGATAATGTTAGTGAAAATGTGGAGTCTGTAGTTGGTGATTGTGCTTTTGCTTACAAATACCTCTTTTGGGCCAAAGCTTGGGCTTTGGTTGGAGATGTGTATGCTAAACTACACCCAGTAGGGGGTAAAGATGTCCCTTTAATATCCGAAGAGAAATGCTTTGTCAAAAAATTGAAAATGTCTTCTGAAGTTCAACTGGAGGTAGAAAGGCTAAAACAGAAATTTGGACAGTTTACCCAAAATTGCAGCTCCTGTTCCTTGATGAATTGCAGCTGTCAAAGTGAAAGGACTAGTAGTGGCAGCAGTGCTAGCTGCAGCTCTAGAACTACTGGCTCTTTAGCTCCCGGGAGAAGGCAAAACAAAAGGTCACATGCTAAGAGTAATTCTTGCCATCATGCTGAACATTTTGAAGGTATGCTTCTGAAAAGCCATCTACAGAAAACAAGAATGTAGAGAACTATATTAGTCTGATATGATTTCCATTCTTGTAGGTGAAACAGGTGTTTCTTCTACTGAGTCAAATAGAAATGCTTCTCTGAGGCAAGTAAATGATGATGGGGCCATACACATGCAATCTGAAGCATCAAAAGTGAAAAATGGGGTCAAAGGTGGGGGTATTTTCAAATATATCAGAGATTGTAGACTTGGTGACACTGATTTCAATCTTTCTCATGCCTTGAAATGTTACAAAGAAGCTAGGAAAGCACTGGCAGAACATCCTTCTAATTTGAAAGAAGTGCAATCTTTAATAAGAAAGGAAGGATGGGTTTGCAATGAGTTAGGTCGAAGAAGGCTAGAGAGGAATGAATTGGATAAAGCTGAAATTGCATTTGCTCAGGCGATTAATGCCTTCAAAGAAGTATCGGACCACACAAATATTATATTGATTAACTGCAATTTGGGACATGGAAGAAGAGCATTAGCTGAAGACATGGTGTCAAAGATTGACACACTCAAGAAACATGCAATGTTGCATGATGCATACAAGCAAGCATTGGAGACTGCCAAATCACAATACAGTGAATCACTCAGATATTATGGAGCAGCAAAAGCAGAACTAAACACTGTTGCTGAAGGAACTGATTCCATTTCTATCAGCTTGCAAAATGAAGTACATACACAACTTGCACATACATATTTAAGGTTTGGAATGCTATTAGCCAGAGAAGATACAACTGCATCCGTTCAAGAGAATTATGTACTAGAGGATTATGTTTCCTCCCGTGCTTCTAGATGTAAAAGAAACCCGAGAAAACATGAGATATCGGCTAACGAGGCTATTAGAGAAGCTTTGTCTGTGTATGAGTCATTGGGTGAGTTACGTAAACAGGAGGCTGCTTATGCGTATTTTCAGCTGGCGTGCTACCAAAGAGATTGCTGCCTCAAGTTTCTGGAGCAAGATCAGAGTAAAGCCATTTTGTCTAAGGGTGAGATTAGCTCTCTCCAAAAGGTAAAGCAATATGCATCATTGGCTGAGAGAAATTGGCAAAAGTCAATGGACTTTTATGGGCCAAAATCACATCCACTAATGTATTTGACTATCTTGGTTGAGAGAGGAGCTTTCTCTATGAACTTGTCAAGCTCTCTTCACTCAAATATGGTATGATTAAAGTTACTCTACCTTGCATCTTTTTCTCTGAATAAGTGTTTGGAAGATTTATATAGGTTAGCTTCAAATATAAGATTGATTTGGGTAACATTAAAAGCATGATAGGATTTTATTACTTTAGTTATTTTTGGTGTGATGATTCTATTCTTTTTTCTTCCTGACATCTTTTATGTTGCTTCACTTGCTTGACGAGTTCTAGATTGCATAAAACTACAGCAAATATTAGAGGATAACTTAGTGGAGTCTGCAGTGAAATATTGTGCATCTTATAGGGCAATAGAATGAACACTTTTTGCTGCTTTATTTTGGAAAATAGTTGGAAACATGCATATTGAGCCTCAAAATTTTGTAGCCATTTTTAGGAAAAAATCAGAGGGAATGCTAAGAGAGATGGAATACTCCCATGACTTCTTGAGGCATAATGTTTGGACTGTCATTTTCCATTTTTTCCATTGGTGAAAAATCTGGTTTTGGCAAAATGCCTATGTTACAAGCATTTACTTGGACTTAGAAAAGTAAGAAGAGAAAAGAACTATCTGGGTTTATACCATTGCTAAGCGGCCTCCTACAGAGTTCTTAGCATCGCTATACAAATACAACAGTCTATATACCCATGTACCTTTACTAAATGGTCCGCAGTTGTACCTGTTGTTGCTCTTCCACCTTAAAGTTATTTGCATGTTATTCATTCAAAGATATCATACTTGCATTCATCTTTATTTAGCGATAATGCTCGAGGGTCTAATGGAAACAATCACTCTTTTTTTACGAGGGTAAGGTTGCATACATTTTGACCCGCTCACCCCAACGCAGTTGGGATTATACTGGGTTTGTTGTTCTTGTTGATTATTTAGCAGAACAAAATGGTAAAGTAGCTTGGTAGATAAGCAAGTAAATAAATAAATCAGTTTGTCCACTTATGTTCGATGCGATTAAGTATGAGTTAACTTTTCATCGAAAAACTTTTCTATCGTAATTCCCAGGTAGTAACATTGGAAGTTTTGAGTATTGTTCAATTTTTACTTGTATTTTGTCAGTTATGATTAGAACGGAATGACATTTAAGCTGTAAAATGTTTTGTGTAGCAACACCTTGAATCAGCTGTTTCTCGGATGCTTGAAGCACGCCATTTATCTGAGAACACAACATTGGACTGTGATAATGGCCCTGAAATTTGTGCGAGATTTTGGAGCCAGTTGCAGATGTTGTTGAAGAGGTTGTTGTCAGTAACACTTTCCACCAGTGCAAACAAGCCTTCTGCAGCCAATATAGGAAAGCTAAAGGAGCTCTACAAGATGTCTTTAAAGTGCGCCGAGTTCAAGCAGTTGGCTGCCATGTACAACTTGTGGGTGTTGTAAATTGCTTGGAACCCATCCAACTTTTTGCTACCTCTAGGTACCATACCATAATCCTACTACTATTTTAAGTACACCCTGAAAATGTTTTCTCGTTTTCTCCATGGAGTTGCATACTCGTGAAAAGTACCCCTAATTGGTTGGGTACACGACAAAATAAACACACTGTCTAACATATAGTCTAGTATAACTCTAGTTTAATTACAAACTTAACAAAGCTTATGTTTGGACACAAGTTGCTTTCTGGAATCAGAACATCTTGGCTTCTTTCCCAGGAAGTGACTGGAGAGTGGTCTTAGAGAAGATATGAAAATTCAAAGGTCCCTTGAAGACTTCAGCTGAAGATGGCCACTTGTATTAAATGGAATTGCTTATGCCATTCCTTCACCGAAACCTTGAAAGTCCAAAATCCAATCAATAAAAAAAAAACGTTTGAAGTAGAACTTATTAAGAGTATTTCCATCTTCCTGGTAGATAATGATGTTGATTAATCCTGAAAACAGTAACGCTAAAGGCTACCGTCCGATAGCTTTTTCAAATATCTAATGCTAACCTCTAAGTCTCTAACACTGATGCCAAACGAGGCCAATATCGATTTAAAGAAGTGTACACGAACAACCTAACATGTAAAACAACATAAAGCATAAACGTAATTGAGTGGCAAATAACTTCTGTGGGAAATATATGCTCATGCATCATCACCTTTAGATAGGCGAATAAATGCGAATTTAGGAATTGAAGCCATGGATCCCAAACCTCCGACCCAAACTAATTCAAAACTTTCAACTGTAAATAAAAAATGATGTATTTTTTATTTGAATAATATGACGAGCTTTAGTTGTGTGTGTGTGTGTGTGTGTGTATATATATATATATATATATATATATATATATTTGAAAGAAAAATGTTATTAAGTGATTCGAATAAAGGTACAAAAGGGGTCACAGTGGATCGCCCCTCTAACAGATGGAGGTAACTGTGCTAATACATTGAATGATCGAAACAAGTTATTTGTGAGAGCGTAACGTGCGAGAGAGTGAGCTGCCGTATTTTCCTCTCTGAAAATATGTCTTGCTAGACCTCTATTTTTTGCCAGCAGCTGATGAATCTCGTTACTAAAAAGGTCCTCCTGTTTATTCTTCGTGATTCGTTTCACCGCATTTTTTGCATCTAAGTGGATGTTGATGGGTTGTGTTGTGATACTAACAGCCCATTTGAGGCCCAATAGTGCAGAAGCCAATTCTCCTTCTTCACTGTTTTCTGTTTTCTGTGTGGCATAAAAAACAGATCCCATCTATTTCTATCTTCCTTTGGAAAATCTACTACAACATCCTCCCTTTCCCTAAACAACTCACCCGGTTTGGGCAAAACCTTCCTTCTATGTGTCTTTTTTGCAGGAACAATGAAGACAATGCGAACCACACACTCAAGGATTGCAGATTCAGTAAAAATATCTGGGCACACTTTGAATCTAGTTTCAAGATCACGACAACTACAACACATGGAATTTGCTCTTACCTGTCGCTCTGGTGGAGGAGCAATAGTATTGACCAGCAAAGTCAAGCAGAACGCAAGGTGATTCCAGGGATCATAGCGCACGAAATCTGGAAGGAGAGAAACAGAAGAACTTATGACAACGAATCAAAAACCGAAACCCAAATCATCCATATGATCTGGAAAAAGTTGCTGGAATGGACAATTGTAAAAGGAAAGAGGAGAATCAGCGTCACTCACTCGTCCATCCCATTCATTTCATTACCAGCAATTCACACCTTCCCCTGGACAAGCGCAAGGGAAGGGATGATACTTAGTACAGATGTTGCGGTGAAAGATGATATTATGTGTGGCGGAGCAATCCTACGCACAGGCACAGGAAGATTCATTGGAGCAAAGTCAGCAATAATCCAATATATATATATATATATATATATATATATATATATATATATAAGAAAACCCCCTAAATAGGAGTAAAACATGTGTTATATCCTCAAAGTAGGAGTTCAAACTTAAACTTCTCCAAGTAGGAGTAATTAAATATTTTTGTTGTACAATTGTTTAGCCGCCGGGAGCCACCCATTCACTGCCTTGGCGGAAATTAAATGAACATGACACTAGTGCTGACAATGTTTGACTAATAATGATAACTCTCATGCATGCATGGATGCTAATATATGGCTAGCTATTACTTCTTCAATCCAAACTCTTTCTATTTGTTTTCTTTTTCCTTTTTTGGGATTCTTTTTTTATTATTATTGGCGGGGGTGGAATTTTTTTTGTTTTTTTGGCATAGAGCTAACAATGGAGAGATTGTGTGTTTGTTTATTTTGATTGTCTTCTTCCCATAATTAATGACTTCGTGGGCTCGATGCATGCACATGTATCACCGAGTACAATTGAACTTTTGGCATTTTGTAGAGTCATGTTTGTCATTGTGCATTGACATCTTTGGTATTTTGTTTTCAATTGACCTAAAATTTTATATTTTTGCATCCTACAATGTCATGTTTGTCACTGTATGTTGTCATTTTTAGCATTGTATTTTCGATTGACAGTGTATGAATTGTTTTTCTCCATGTAACACCATGGCCCTACACCTGTGGGGGTTAGCGATGCCGACAACGTGCGACGATAACAGGAGCAAGGGGTGATGAAAGTGGCAGATCTTGGCGGCGGCAAACGGTGAGTCAACAACTCCTATTTTGGGGGTTTATGTTTTTACTCCTATTTTGGATTTTAATCAATGTTTAACTCCTATTTTGCTCCTTAACCCTATATATATATATATATATATATATATATATATATATATATATATATATATATATATATATATCCTTTATATATATAAAGGAGAGTCGGAGCTATAAGAACGTGACATTTGGCAGAGCTAAAGCACAACATGTGGCGACATTTGGCAAAGTTAAAGCGCGACATGTGTCACCCTTTTAGACAAATCGATCGGTTTGACCGGTTAGACCAGTTCTTTTTTTGCAATTTTTTTCCAAAAGCATACCACCATGGGGTTTGAAACAAGGATCTCTTGGTCATTTAGTTGAGTTCCTAACCATCCAAGCTAGGGTGCTTTTTGTTACAATCTCACTTAAGCTTTTATAATGTTTCATAATTAAAAAAGGATTGTATAAAAATTTCTTTTTAGTTATAAAAAATATAATTCTTTAATATAATATTTGAGACTCCGTTTGCTAGAAAGTCGCCAAAAGACAAGCTTATGTGGCCTATATTAAGGTGAGATGGCAAGTCTTTATTGGTTGCTTATGTGGCAAATTTTATTAATGATGAATTGACCTTTCTTTTTATTTTAAAATAGAAATTTAATAATGATTTCAAATTTTGGAAAAATTCTACGTTAAAATATTTAGTACAAATAAAGAATTCATTATTTTGTGACATTAGTTGAGTATTTATATTTTTTATTTTTAAAAAGCAATTCATCTATTTATTTGTTATGATGTGATAAAATTAATTATGTTATAAAATCAAATTTGTGAAAGATAAATGTAGTATTGTCCGAAATAGAATTTTTAAAGGAAAACAATTATATAAAATATAATTTTATGATAAAAATTATTATGATGTAGCAAACAATTAGTGAAAATATAAAATTGGTATTATCACTTACCATTTCAAGACTAGCATTTTTTATGAATCAAATTTTTAACTAAGTGCATACACAAAAAACAAAATTTTGATAATGATATATTCTCATTTAAGAGTATTCTTATAGAAAAGGATC